CCTGGGGAGCAACTACACACAAATAATCAAATTTGAAGCCACACCACCTCATTGTCTTGTAAAACTCCGTCCCCTTTCTTAACTTTATATTACATTATTATATTAAACAAACACTATAGGCACCCAGGTACCTACTCTAGCTACATTGACCAACTCTAGGAAGTTCTAAGGTGACAAGGAGTCCGATTATGATTACAGCTCCATCATCTCATACAGCACATGCATTCAAGTTAGTTTTTACGAGTTAGTACCAGCTTGGTAAGTATTTCAGGGTGTGTTTTTGTCTGTCTACGTCAGTGTCTGCATTTGTATGTGTGTGCAAGAGTCTGTAGGTCTGAGTATGAGTGAGAGCCTCTCTAGTTAGGTGGGTGAGATAATGGACTGGGAGGTTGAGGTTGCATGATGATAAGCAGAGGTACAATGAGTGTGGGTTGCGGGCGTAACATAGAGGAGATGACTATGTGGTAAAGAAGTGTAGAGTAAAAAACTTAGGAAGCGATGTGGATGTAGGGAAATGAACAAGAGAGATATAGCTGTGGGGAGATGAACTAAGGCACTGATGTGATTTCTACAGTTTTGTTTATATCTCCCATCCTGGTCTTCTGTTTTTTTAAAGTTGGTGCATTTATAGCCTTGTTATTTTATATTCATTCTTTATGACTTCTTTTGTTAATTGTTTGTTTAGCTAGTGTTACTTCTTTCACTGACAGTCTTGTAGATTTATGTTCACTGCTTATGACTTTCACCTATCTGATCTTTCATATCTTTTTATTCCAAATGTTATCTCCTCTGTTTTTTCATCTCTATTTACCACAATATTTCCATGTCTCCCCACCCATAATGGTGTTTTTTTTTTTTTATTCTAACCCCAGACCTTATGTTTCAGACTGGGCCCCTAATAACAGCATTGATTATCAACACCCAGTACTCACAAGCAACCAAGCTCTGCAGAAATGTATCATCTCTGGAAGGCTGGATGTCCCCCCGCTTTCTGAAAGTAAATCTCTCTAAAACTGAGCTCCTTGTCTTTCCTCCTCCTAATACTGATCATCCACTTTCACTCTCCCTTCAAGTTAGTGGTATCAACATCAGCCCATCCTTGCAAGTGCGCTGTCTTGATGTCATACTTGATTCTGACCTCACATCCAGCATGTTACTAAGTCCTGTAGATTTCATCTTAAAAAATAGCCCTCATCCGCCCCTTTCTTACCAAGATGCTACTAAGGAGCTTGTCCATGCTCTAGTAATTCCTCGCATGGATTATTGTAACCGTCTCCTAATTGGTCTTCCCAAAAAACGTATTGCCCCGCTACAGTCTGTAATGAATGCTGCTACCGGACTGATTTTCCTCTCTGGTCGGTCCTCTCACACCTCACTCCTCTGTCAGTCCTTACATTGGCTTCCTGTATCCTATAGGAGTCAATTCAAAGTACTAACCCATACCTATAAAGCACTGAACAGTTCTAGCCCCTCTTATATGGATCTGTGAAGAAATATAGGTATGCCCCTTCTTGGCCTTTCCACTCTGCCCGTGACCTTCTCCTGTCCGCTGCTCACATCCGTATGGCCAACTCATGCTTGCAGTACTTGTATTGGGCGGCTCTCTGCCTATGGAATAGTCTGCCTACCGCCATCAGACTCTTCCCTAGTCTTCAATCGTTTAAGAAGTGCCTTAAAACCCATCTCTTTAGGAAAGCTTATGTTCTCCCAGAGTAACCTCTACCTCACATACCTGTCTCTTTCTCTCTCCTAAACGACAGCACTCTAATTTCTCTTCCAGCTCTGCTTCACTTCCACCTTTTTTGATTGCTATTTCCTCTCCTATTGGGTTTAACACCCCACCGCCTATAGACTGTAAGCTATTTTGAGCAGGGTCCTCTTCAAGCTTCAACCTGTTTCTGTAAGTTTTCTTGTAAGGTTAAATCCCTCCCTCTTATAATATTGTACAGCGCTACAGAATCTTTGGCGCTATATAAATGGCAATAATAATAATAATAGTAATAGAAAGTGACGGCAGATAAGAACCATTCAGCCCATCTAGTCTGTCCAATTTTCTAAATACTGTCATTAGTCCCTGGCTTTATCGTATATCTAGAATAGCCTTATGCCTATCCCACGCATGCTTAAACTCACTGTGTTAACCTCTACCACTTCAGCTGGAAGCCTATTCCATGCCTCCACTAACCTCTCTGTGAAGTAATACTTCTTGATATTATTTTTAAACATTTGCCCCTCTAATTTAAGACTATGTCCTGTTGTTGCGATAGGTTTTCTTCTTTTAAATATATAGTTTCCTCCTTTACTGTATTGATTCCCTTTATGTATTTAAATGTTTCTATTATATACCCCCGTCTCGTCTTTCCTCCAAGCTATACATGTTAAGACCCTTTAACCTTTCCTAGTAAATGTCACCCTGCAAATCATAAACCAGTTTTGTAGCCCTTTACTGAATAAATATCAATATCCTTCTGGAGATACAGTATCCAGTACTATGTACAATACTCCAAGTAAAGTCTATCCAGTGTTCTGACACCTTTCTATCATGGCTAGCATTAAGTTTTTTCTGCAAAGTATCTTACATTTGCTTCCAAGTAAAACTAAAATAAAACATTTGGAAAGAAATTGAAAATGATTAAGCATAGACAAAAAGAAAATAAAAGAAGAAAAATAGCAACATTTTTAGTTACATTCCAACAGTTCATGTTAGGGTTTTATCTGCCTCAGGATCTAATTCAATTTAAAATGATTTTACATATTTTGTAATTAACAATCATCTCTCATTATCATTAGTGTGCATAGATTATGGTCTCAAATTCCAGCTGAGCAATGCAGCATAGCTGCTAAAGAATACACTGTTACAAGTTTTAGAACAAGGCTCCAGGCATCCTACAATCAGGATAGTGATAAGTTTTAATATCTTCAAACTTTAGGTCCATTTACATAAATATACAGTTCTATACACGAGAAGATTTAAGTAGCTTGAACTTAAATATAAAATAAAAATTACAATAAAATAACACCTTTAGGAGAAATTAAATTTCATTTCAGATGTTAATAACTTGACAAATAAACAATGTAACTCAGGGAGTTACGCTCTAAAAGAAAAATGCACAAAAAAACATGATATATTGTGACTTCCCAGGAATGACACCATGTTACCATGATTGCCTTATCCTATAATTTTTCATTTATGTTGTTTACTTATTTTAGAACTGGAATGACTGACGTTAACACAGTATAGATTTGAGAATTATGTTTCCTATAAAGCCTAAAACCTAGAGTAAGGATCATGGGAATTAAAGCTTAGCTATCACTGACTCACTACATGCAATACAGCTCCCCGATATTATTTAGCTGAAACTCCTAATATACTCTAGCCTTTGGAGTATATTTGAAGATGTATAGGAATTGTAGCTTGGAAGGAACTAGAAAGCTTTTTGCCAGCTACCAAAATGGAATACTACCTGGATGAGGCAGAAATACAAGTGTACAAATACAAATAAATAAAATGTAAATCAAAAAATACAAACCAAAACAGAATTTTATATTTTCTCACTTTTAAAAAGTTGATCAAAGCAATGGTTTCCACTTGATAAAGCCCTATGTGGTGAAAAATGTGGATTTTAAAAAAAAAAGCATTTTAATTATAGTGATTGTACCATTTTCCTCTTTTTTTTTTTTTTGCCTGGCATCCTGTTCCTCACTCCAGAAAGGATCTCATGAAAGAATCCTAGGTGGGGATTATACGACTCACGCCTTATTCACTGAGCGATGTGTCTACTCAATTAAATGTGAGTACATTTATTTTTATTTATTACTCCTGGTTTAGTGTACACAGTGAGCACTATTGTTGTAATTTTTTTTTTAATCATTTTTGGGCTCATGGTCCCTATCCCGCTGTAAAAACTGCGCTGCTGAATACAGTACTACACGTATCCAACAAGTGGGGATTATACAACTGTATGCCCATCATACTAGAGCTGGTCTTAGCTCTATAAAACATGAGTAGGACCATATAAGACATGCACTTAAAAAAATTACCACAAAATATTGGAACATATTGCACTATTGCCTTTCTTCTTTGTTTTATTTTGTATATCTATACGTATCCCAAGAAAATTTAGATATGGTATCCCTACGAAAAGACTCCTCTATGAGATTTGGCTGCAACCTTTGCAAGTTTACACATTAGCTTAAGACTTTTATATTTGCTACTTGTTCTTCGCTTTGGTGTTTTAATATTTTAAATACATTTGTTCACATTTGGCGCAACCTTTTCCGGTTTTGCTGCATAATCAAAACAATGTGCGTCCTTCCTTAGAGTGACATCACCTATGAATTGCATTTGGCCATTGAAGGAATGATGACCAGACTACATATCCTCATATTAAACACACATGAAACTTAAGAAAGGACGTTTCTACAATTATCCCAGAGTTTCCAGCTTGACATGCAAACGAACACAGACAGGTATCATGTTATAGACTTCTTAATGCATTTCTGCACATACCCTTAGGAAAGGATGCTGTTTTAAGCACAGACTGATGACACCTACAAGGTTTCAGTCTATGAGCAAAGGCCTCCAGCTCTCTCATTGGAGCAAGTGAACTCCAGGTAAGATGTCAAGCAATTAGCAAGCCTTTCTTGAAAGGACCTAGGTATGTGGTGGAGAGAAAATATATACCCATATACATAAAATGAGGGAACAAGAGCACTCTTGACACAATAACCTCTACAGTACACTGCAGTGGTTATGGTGCTTTGAGTGTCATTTTAATAATATATGAATAACATGATTAGGAGATTTTATTTTTTTAATAATGAAGTACCAACGAGTGCATATGGAGGAGCAGAACTAAAATGGCCAACAGCACTGATGTAGTTTTTCCAATGTGTTTTATGAATGTGAATGGCTGTATGGGTTTAATAACTAAAGTCTGAATTTGGTATTCACAAATAATATCCTACTATCAATGACCATTCTATTTTCGTCACTAAAACCCCTCTCTATCAGAAATGGTCACATACTGCGATCGGTCTGATACATATGATCAAACCCAGGTTAGTGGACCATCACCAATACCTGAGTTTTTAAGTTTTTGTAAACGGAGCCCATTTTCCATTCTTACACCAGAATGGGCAGGCATACTTTCCTGCACTCATTACAGTAATCAAATATATTCCTACCTGTTTGGTTTATTCTAGAAGTATGTTATGCACCCTGTCTTTAATTTGGGGCCAACAAGGTTATTTTTAAATGCTGCTCTTCCTCGAATAACTGTTAATATTTTTAGATCAGTTTTCATACTCCATGACAGTCGAAAACTCGTATACTCTTTATTAAAAACAGTTCATATGCTTGAGCATATATATATATATACATATATGAGAAAATAAGGGTTTCATTTTCACTATATATATATACATATACACATATACACACACACACACTTTTATTTTGCATTTTCTGACATTTTTATGCATTAGTTTTCCTTTAAGAGGTTACCTAACCATCAGGTCCCATCCATCTGTTTTCAATAACATTCTGACTATCTTTTTGTAAAAACATCTGCTGCTCAATATTCACAAGATGAGCTTGTAAATAGGTCACAAGCACATAAACAGCAGCCTCAAAGCCACTCATTGAAGGGAGCTGTGGCACAGCATCAGACATTGATGTTGGCGAATGGACATGTTCTGTGGGACGCACCACTGTGAGGTTTATTGTAGGCTTTTCCTCATCAGCAGGTGGCAAATCAGCATCTGCAAGAGAGAATTAATATTTCAGTTTTGTCAACACATTATGTCATAATGCAAGCTATATTACTTAACACTGTTTAATGGACATTTATTTTGATAAATGAATCTGTGTTTATTTCTTGTACAATCATATAATAATATTATGGAATGTCAGGGGGGTGGGGGGGCGGTTACACACCTGCATATTTCATGGAAAAATCAAAGATAATTTGCCTCCAGCAGGGACAGATTAACTAAAGGACCGTCAAACTTCAATTTAGGATTATTATTTAGGAAATATTGAAACAGGTGAAAACGTGGATGCCTAAAAAGGTGTATGGCTGATGAGAGAGGCAATGCATTGTTTAAATTACCACTAAAGTCACCCATCTCAATGAAGTGGTCTGAGCACAGCGTTCCTGTTCTATTAACCCTTTAATGTAACACATTGCTGATTGGTAAAAATGGCCGTGTTTACAAGTTAAGCACCCCACTGGTGTCATGGCCATTGGGCATGCTTCTTTCCCAGCGTTACAGTTGAATTATCTTTATATTGTGTGTTTATCATTTTTGTCTGTTCTAGCATAAAAAGGGAAACCCCCTTGGATAAGAAAAGCATTACTAGGGCTGTGTGTCTTAAAACCGTCACAGAGATCCTCAGCTGTGCCTGTTGCAAGAACTCCTTAATAAAACTTTTGGGACACTAACAGAAAAGAAGTGTTAAACTGCACCTACCGGTCTCATTTCGTAGGATCACCAACTAGAATCAATGCTACAAACAATGGCAATAGGTAATGCTATACCATTAAAAAAAAAATAAAAAAAAAAATATGAAAGTGTCAAAGGACTGGGAAACCATAATATGGTGTCATTTAAGTTAGCACACCATACACAAATAATCTTGGATGTACTAACATCTGCTAGAAGTGATGTTTTATAACTAAATTACTAGTAACATGACTATTTATTTAGGAAATTATACTATTAGAGATATAATATTTATGCAATGTGTGCTCTATTTTTACAAAAAATGTTTACAAAACAAAATAAAAATAAATTACATTTCATATATATATATGAAAAAAAATACTCCATTTATAATTTAAGAAGCAAAAATGACATTGTGGCAGATTGAGTTACTCTAGAATACCCTGGCTATAAAGTACTTTTAATAAAGGAGTGTAAAAATACTGGTTCCATCAGGAATGCCGAAGGGCACTAATAACCTCAGTGCCCAAGAAAGGTGATCTCCATATTAATAGCTACTGACGGGCCCCTCTGCTCGGCATTGACTATGTGATCATAGCTAAAGCTATTCCACTCAGCCTGAGATCTGTGCTGGCAGAGTAAATTCAGTCAGACTAGCCATACAGTTTTAGACCAGAGTATATTACAGAAAAAGCAAAGAGTTTTTATCAAGAAGTAACTGAAATAAAGAAAGTCTGGGGGGGAAAAATACTAATAATAATGCTAAGACTACAGTTTCATATGCATAATAACAGATGCGTAATACCAATTATTGTTTTATTCATGAGTATGCTAATTTTTAGTTCATCTCTTTCTCAGAATAATTTTCCTTTCCCAGAATCCACTGATTTAAATACTTTTAAATTAACGCTAAATAGTTGCAGTTTAGACTCATTGTCATTTTTTTTATTTTTATTTCAAATCTGTAGTGCCGAAGCACACTGCCAAAACTACGAAACCTGTGCCGTTGTACAAATACTTTTGGACTGTACTGCATGTGTGAAAAAGTAGTACTGGTTAAGCTGATAAGACTTATCTGTATAGAACAATTTTATTAAACCTTTCGCGTGTATCCCTGCTTCCCACTACCTGCTGAAGGCATTCCCTGGCAAGCCCTTGGCACTACTGAAGTTAAAATGCTCAAATTATAAGAGGTTTTAGCACAAGAGGAAACAGTTTACTCATATGAAGGAGGAGACCTGGGGGATCTAAGAAGAAAAAGGAGCCTTTTTAAAAACGGGCTACATTCCAGTATTGCTATGGGCAAATTTATATCAATACATAACTCGGAAATTAAGTATGTTAGGCACCTCAAAGAGCCCTTCCTTGAAAGAGGGTAATGTCAGATTCCATGTTCTTTCATTATTTTTGTTGGATTATCAACAATATAAATTTGATACATTTTTGTGCAATTTACACAAGCAAAGGCTCATAGTGCTACCACATAGATATGAGTGGCATTGCTACAATGTTCTAATATGTATTATTTATTGTCTTTACAATCAGGAAATGTACTCCCAAAACTATTTTGATTTGAAATAAAGGTTTGCTGTATGTGTACAAGGACTGTTGGGGTCTCTATCTGGGATTAGGGGTAATTTAAAAATAGCTTTATTAAATTACTACAAGTTTGTTATGTATTACTTGTTAGCATTGGGTACATTCACCTGTTCCAAAACTATTTATTTTAAAACTTGTCAACCATTGTTTTTTGGGAGTCTAACTAGTTCCGTGGCTAAGCTATTAAATCAAATTCAATTAAAACATAATTTGCCTTGGCATCAAATGATCAGCACTGCGACATAGATGACCTGATCACAATAGCGAAGGTTTTTGCCATCTTTTTTAATAAGACATATTGTGTATGTCTACATAATTCTACAGCTATAAGTTAGCATCACTGTTACATCACATGGGAGAGGTAGGACATAGAATGCAAGTTTTGGTTTTCTTTGCAAAAACAAAAAAAAATATACTGTTAATTCTTAGGCAAAACGTTACTGACTTCATAACGTCTGAAGTATCACTTTAACAAAAAATATAGAAGTAGCTATTTTACTATCATATTTAAATGTAAAAATATATTCAGTATGTGTATTTTATTTTTGCGTGTTTGTTGCACTGTAAATTCTGGGTTTCGCTTTAAGTACCTCTATACATATTGTATATTTATTATTAAAGGGCAGAAAAAATATTTTTCTGTAATAGTGAATGACGTTTGCATTCCCAGCAGACTACACGGCTTTGCCAGCAGCATGGCACCGATTACAGTTGGCTTGGGGGTATGGAGGGAGACCCTGCAGCCCTAGAATCTCAGCCGAGGTGTTCTGAATGTATTTAAAGGGCTCTATGCAGAACTGACTTTCAGCACTGCATACAGCTCATCTGTCAGTCTTGGCCCAGTAAAATGGTCGCAGCTATCAATTGATAGCTGGGACACCCTGGTTTGAGTAGGGATTTACCCATGCTCACACCAAAACTTTAGGACATGTTAAGACACATTGATATGTCCTAATGTCGTTAAAGAGGGTTAATGGAAATGTCTGTTAAAATGTATTTTATATAAAGTTTACAACAACATACTAATCATTCAACAAGTTTTTCTGGGTAGCAAGACAGTCCAGGTGAATTGTTTTCCCCCAATCATCATCTTCGCAAATTGTCAGTTTTAACACCAACTTCCATTCCAGGAAACCACCAAATTTAAAGTAGCGGAAAAATTTGGCCAATTTTCTGTAAATATATAAACGCACTTGTGGACAAAAAAAATATGCATACTCAGAAATCAGGAACTCAAATTTCTACTTGCCACTAGTCATTGAGGAGTGAAAATTGAGCCCTGGCAAGTAGAAATTGACTTCTGGAGGTCATATAATGGCTTGCAGTTGCCAGTAACTTTTAAGGCCTGGCTAGTAGCATAAAACAACAAAAGGTTAAGCCCTCCAAAAGTTACAGTGAAATTGCACAAAATGCAACAGATGTAATATATTTCACCAAAAATTCACAGAACATTAGACAGTAGAGTGTTGGTGACACTTGGATAAATAGCCCCAGTTTCATTTCTCCTATTCTCTGTATGCTTTCACTATGCTGCCTGCCAACGACACATAAAGACTTGTTAGTTGAAACGTTGCCTTACTCTTCTAAATAAAAGTGTTTGTTATATTTGATTTGAATGTCTGTGTGGCACCAAGTAAGGATCCAAATGAATTAAGCATGTGCATAGTCTAATTTTTGTTTTACAGAGCTTGTAGCAATGACTGACAGGGAGCTAATGTGGAGGCGCCCAGTTACAAAAAAAAAAAAAAAGATGTTGACTTCTACATTCAATTTGAACACCCCAGAAACACATATATAAGGATACGTAAATCTAATATTTAAAATCATGGTAACTGACCATTCTCATTTGAAGATGAAATTTCTAAAGAGATACAAGTGTGCATTCATATGGGGCCCTGCACTGATTAACTCTACAGTGGAACCTCGGAACTCTAAATCCGTTCAAGAAGGCTGTTCGAGAACTGAATCAACATTTCCCATAACAATTAATGGGAATTTGATTAATCTGGTCCAGACCCCCAAAATTACAGCATTAATAAAATGTAATAAGTACAATGTACAGTAAATGAAAAGAATTCACTTTACCTGTAACGATGAGAGTTGGAGTAAGTAGAAAGGAGAAGTAATATTTTTGGTTGGATGGAGATAGATAACTGCCCTTCTGGCATTTAAAATGTGTCTAAACTAAGACAAAGTAAGACATAGCTTTATAATTAAATAGGTTTGGGGCATGATTTGTTCGGGTACCGAGAATGGTTTGTGTACCGAGACAATTTTTTTCACATTTTTGGTTTGACTACCAAATTGTTCGGGTAGGAGACTGTTCGAGATCCGAGGTTCCACTGTGAATAGCATGTACATGGGTTCAGTGACAGTTGTGTAATATAAAAACAAATGAAAACAAGAAATTAGAACTACCTTGATGTTGGCAATAGAGCCAGAAGAACTTTAATGTAAAAGCCACAGCTATTGCGATGGTACTAAAACCCAGTAATTTAAACAGGTGCAGGTATATTTTTAGGATTTGTTTATATATAGTGACTGAACCAGGGTGGGGATAGGACATTTGGAGATCTACCATTCGCTCATCCCTGCTTTATAGAGTATTATGCTTTAGCTTTTCCCAAGCCACATATTTTGAACGTTGTCTGATTAACTGCTATGCAAACATGTAATTTTAATATAACTTCTCATGACCATGTATGGGCAGTAACAGAATCCATTTAAATTTCATTGAGTGAGAGACATTGTAATGGCTCTCCATCTGTGTAGCTACTCTGTACCCTCTCTTCTCCCCCACTGCATTGATGATTCTAGCACCAAAGGTAAGTGTAAAGCATAGATCTGAGGAGGATGGTTCTATAATGCTTACCAACTATAAAACCCCCGATTTCACAAAATCAACTTCCACTCATTTCCAACAAAAAATGAGCAACGAAAGTATTACTACTATTAATTATATAATTACAATTAAAACACACCACTGCACCCCATTGCAGTGGTTATATTGTAATTAGGCTGCAGGCAAAATTCCCCAGTTACAAGTCAAATTGTTTTTGACATCCTATCAATCTCAACCAAGGAAAAACTGATAAACCAGATGTAGAACTTGATAGTGAATATGAATACATCAAGTAGGGGCTGGGCTGCGGGTGTCTCTGGAATGCCACTGTTTGGGTGAAACCAATTCAAATCAGTTTGACCCATGATTGGGGCACGGTGCCTGCAAACAATTGTATATAGTGGCTATGATACTTAGACTGCTCCTTTAAAGGGAATACAGCTTTAAACTGTTCAAGCAAAAATCGATCTACAGAGGTGAAAGTTCCACAGATAGCAGATCTGCACAGAATTCAGAAAATTACACCAATAATGGAGTCCTGCAAGAACTGGCAGTCTGTCCCTTGGACCAAATGATAAAATCAAAGGTGATATCAAAAATCTATTACATTGTTAACCTCCAAGGTTGAAAAGCAAAAGGGTATTTGGTACAGCTGGCTAACTACTTGCTAGCTAAACCTTAGCTACTCTAACTTTCATCAGAAATTTGTGAAAGAGGATGTTTTTCTCACAAATACCAGTCTTCACATTGTACATTGAGGAAACAGACTTAACATAAAATAGCAATAAGGCTCTTCAATCCTAGAGCTCAACAGAATAGAATTAAGTGTACAGGTGTGCCCAAAAACTTGCTTACCCTGGCAGAAATTGTGATCTTTTGGTATTGATTTTGAAAATATGACTGATCAGACAAAAAAAAAAAAAAAAAAATTCTTCCTGAACGATAGTGACCGTAGGAAGGAATTTATTATTAAATCTATCTATATATCTTTTTTTTTTTTTTTTTAATTTCGCCCAGGTTACATAATAAGTGAGACCAGTGGCATACACACAATCCATGGGGCCCCGGTGCGAAACTGATCAGAGCCCCCCCGCCTCTCTCCCCTGATCCATGGGCCCCCCGGACACATACATACAGACACACACCCCCCTCCGACCGACACATAAAATGTTTCCTACCGTTTGTGACTTTCCCTGAGGTCCAGTGGGGGCTCAGCCTGATGGGAGTCAGAGTTCTTACTCTGACTCCCTCCTCCCGTGCTGATTTTGATAGCAGTGAGGTGTGACCGGGGAGTCACTTTCTCCCAGCAGTGATCTCAACACTAGGCGCTTTAACAGCGCGACCGGGCCCCCTGATAATCTATATCCATAGGGTGTCCCTAACAGCATGGGCCACCCGATGGACCCCTTAACATGCAGCCCCGGTGGTTTGCCACGCAGGCCGGGACCGCAAAACGTGGCAGCTGGTACCCGGTTGCAGGGGTCCGCAGGGCGGCCGGGCCCCCTGGAGTGACTGGCCAGTTCGCAACTGCGACCGCGGTATATATGCACCTGAGCGAGACATATGCATTACATTGCCTGTGCAGGTATATAGTAAGACAGTATAAAAAGGACATTGGGCAAACATCTGTCAGCATATCAAAAGAATAAGAGCAACCAGAGTGTTTTTTTTTGTTTTTTAAACTATAAAAGAAACTAGCAATTAGCATTGGTTTCCATACAGATACGTTTTCTTATGCATTGTAAAGGTATGAGAACCCATGCTGCGCTCTAAGTGGGCCATGGGCTATTCTAAAACAAATGGTTTTGATCATGAAAGAGGTGGAACGTAGTGACTGCCTCCACATTATGGTGGACCTAGAAAGATCCCTTTAAAGGACAGCTGTGAGCCTTCAAAGCTCCGTGAGGGAGACGCTCTGGTAGCTTCTATCAATGCGGTTTTATCAGTGTCTCTGGAATTGAAGGAGCACGTCTCTGGAGGCCTCTGAGGGTGGTCGTGAGGCTTTAGGCAAATCAGAACAGCAGTCTGTAATAGCCTGCTTGGCCTGTCTGGGGGACAGCAGCGTGGACAACAGTCGCCAGACATAGTGGGATAATTCTCCAGGAGAAATAGTCTCAGGCACTACCCTGATTTGTACATTGTGGGCCTTGGCCCTATCTTCCAGGATTGCCATCCGCACACCTAGTTCTCCACACATCTTCTGCAGAGTGTTAAGCACAGCGTCTGTGGCGGATTGCGCCAACCGCGTTCCCTCCCAAATCTTCCTGAATGGCAAGAATGCGGCATGTCAGCACAGTAACTTTCTCTCTCACCACATCCATGTCAGCCTGGAACCTTGCTTTAATGTCTTGTAGTAGGGCTTTAATATCAGGCTTGGTGGAGGGAGCATTATCCTCTAGCACCATGGTCCGCAGTACCTGCATGTCAGCTTCAGACTAGGCAGTGGAGTAGGCCTCAGGCAGCGCCATCTTAGATGGCGCAAGCTGCTGACTGTCAGAATAAAGCACAGATCTCGGTTTTGGCAAGGTAAACAAACACAAGATAATTAAGCTTAAATATGAAAATATGCATGCATTTGCTCAAATTTTGCTCTTGAATGGCAACCATGGAAAAAAAAAAAAATATATATATATATATATATTTATCTTTTCACATACAATGTAGAAAGATTACAAATTATAGATAAATTGCGTATAAATCATATCACAGTCCGCATTTAAATAAGTAAATTTGTGACAAACTGGAGCTGTAAAAGTAACTAGCACACAAACGTTTAAAAAGGTACAACTGCAAAATCACCATGACTTAATATAAAAGCATTTTAATAAAATTCAAGGTCATTAAATCAACCAATGATTTAATATCACGAATATAAAAGGGCTGTGATTCTCTAGGTACACCTTTTTAATTTTTGTTATCATGCTTCACTAGACATCAATCAGACTTAGCCATAGTACCGTTTCGTCGCTTATTACATAATATTGATGTAGCGCTGAAGAAGATTAAAATGGCATTTATATTTACCATTTCAATAAAATTACTTTCCATATCAGATTTGAAAATAAGAGATTTGGGTTAATTAAAAAGGAAAACAACGCGCCAGAACAAGTAAGAAATTTACTTTGCTGACAATTTTTAGTTAACAAGCCAAAACCAAAAAAACAAATAGAAGTTATACAATAAAATGTACAAATATCTCAGTGAAAAAAAAAAATGTGATATGTAAATTCTGTTACAAAATAGGAAAATAAAGCATTCAAAAACTTGATAACTCCTTGATACCATTAGATCCATACTTTATTTTTCTAAATAAATACAATTTATATTTAAAACTATACACACGTATGCAAGGATTCATTCTTTCTATTGATAATCTTAAACTAATGAAAATACTTCTTTAAAAAAAACCTGTATGTCAACTCAAGATTGAAAAAGTCCCTTTACTTTAAAAAAAAAAAAAAAAGTCAAAAAAATTCTTCTGTGGTAAAAAAAGAGGCACTTGGGTATACAAATAAAGCTTCCCAAAATATTTTTCAGACTAAACTGCAGTTCCGAAATTGTATTCACCTGTGCTACAAAGTTATGGATTGCTTGGCACTGGAAGATGTGGGTTAGCAGTCGTTCTGGAGAAAGTTCTTCAATAAACAAAGCCATCATCATTTAATCCAATTGAATACGTGTGCCAAGTTGGTCCACCTTTAGAACTTTGTCCCAGGCGTATATAATCACCATAAAGTAAAAATACAAAACATTAAGTGCTAGAACGGTAGAATAGGAAAACACTACATATAAATGCACTTGATAACTGCATTTTTTTTTTTGATTCAGTGGCAATGTATGTCATCCTGCTGTGAATTCTTTTGGAAGCTTGCTGCTGCTGGTGTCATTTAAGTAAAATTTAAGATACTTTAAGTATGATTGCATACAACAGATGACACTGTTGCTTTATTAATAAAAAACGCATTTCAGAGCGATAGAGGCATGTTTAACCTTTGCATGGCAGAAAGGGAAAGAGAATGTTCCCTTGCCAAGTAGTGCAATGCTCCATATTCAGAGACTCAAAGCTTTATAATCCGGACATGATGAGATATTCAGGGGAAAAAAAAAAAAATACTCAGTCCATATAGCATGAAACAGTCAAAATGCATATTACACAAAGTATCCTCTTAAAAGTTAGCACGTAATTTTTTGTTCTCCTCCCGAAGTTTTTCAATTTCAGCGACCAAACTTTCGTTGACAGAATAGCGTTCAAGTAACATGTGTATTTCACTCTGAATAGAAAGGGAGGGGAAAAAGTGGAAGTTTAGAAATGTATCCGTAATTAAAAATGCACAGGAGTTAAAAAAATAAATAAAAATAAATGCATTATAATCATTACTTTATGCCATGGAGAGAAAAAATGCGCACAATTAATAATTAGGACATGAAAATAGATCATGCAGGAACAAATTAGCATAAAGAGGAATATTTAAGGAGCTATTAATCATTGTATTTAAACTTTTAACACAAGCAAGTTTTTTTTTTTTTTTTAAATGCATTTCGTGGTGAATTTGTATTATGCATTGCATAAAAAAAAATTATTTTATCCTGAGCAGTCATGTTTAATGGAACACTGTGATAGGATTTTTTTTTAACTCTTACATACTTTTCTACCATTTTAAGGTAACAATTTCAGCATTTAGAATGGACTAAAAGAAAACAGACTAATTTGACTGAAAGTTCTGTGGGCAGCTCATATTTCCTGACTCAGCCTGTTACGGTCTTGTTATTACCTGAGTTGCTACTAGTGCAGATTCCGGTCTATTTCTGAAGTGTGCACTTTCATTGGATGTTCCTATAGAGCTATGACTGGTGTAGCTAATGTTATATGTCTTGCTGCTCTGTATTTAGCTCATTTGGCTTACTAAGGCTCCCTAGGAACACTGAAAACTGAAGAGTGTCTTTGTTTAAAATGATGGTTATCACACTAAACTAAAATAAAAAAAAAATATGACCAGCATGCATTCTCTGTCCTAGATTAAAGTTGACGGATTTGTACGCAAAACATAAAGAGAACCTATCCCCTCCTTTGGTTCTCTTATATAAATGTAAGGCTCCCTGTGCACTGACAGTAAGAATTTCACTGTCCGCCAGTAACCTTGCTGATAACCAACACTGACCATGCATGGATACTTCCAGAGGAAAAAAAACTATTTTACCTTTCCCTTCTGTCAAATCAGAAAACTACCTGGTACACGAGAACATAAAACGGCAGGTAATATTTATGGCAATAATTTATATTAGGTGCAGAGCAGCAGACACAAGAAATGATTACAATGAAAGTTTTAAAACCAGGGAATAAATGCGAGTGTCATGGGAGGTCTGCTTTCCGAAAACAATGAAGAACAACTTTCTGCCTGCAACGTAACAGCTCAAGATAATAAAATCTGACAACCTCCTCACATTCTTTTTTAGATGGGCTTCTGGTTCATGTTTAAATAATGTATTGCAGAAATAAGAAGACCTTGTTTTTTTTGTGACCCTCTTATTCTATTTATTTTAAACAATTATTTATTCCTCTTTTCAAGAAGTTATAATGTAAGTAGAACAGTATAAGTGGGAACAAGTAACCCATAAGTAAATGACGTATGTACAAAAAGATCATCAAAAGTGATTACTAGTGCTAAAATAAAAAAATTATATATATATAACATTGGAACAGAAAATAATCAATAAAGGTTTTTCCTATTTAGTAGGGCGTTTTGGAGATTGCCATAGAACAGAACTGTCTTTACAATTCCTGCATTGCACCAGGATTTTTGTGGGTTTAAAAAAAAAAAAAAAAAAAACAACTTAACATCCCTGTTTTATTACACACTGTGAAATGAACCTTCCGTTCGGCAGTGTAAGCCATTAAAATAATATTAGCTGAAACGCCTACAAGAAACTTATAAGGCGAGTTTTACACTTCCTTAATAACTTTATTTCACAGCTATGCACATATTAAGTTTTATTGCGACAATTCTTTCCCCCTACAAATGCTGAAGCAGCATGTCTTTAGAGTGTTGCTTCCACCAGCACATTTAATATTGAAATATATCTACAGATTAACACAATATAGTTGTGTTTCCATTTGAACAATGTAAAAAAAAAAAAAAGTACAAATATTTCAAGTCTTTTGTTATTTTCAATACAGTCAAACAAAACAGAAAGACAGTTTTGGGTCACATAGTTGTTGGAACAATAATTTCCATTTTACGTACTAGGGTACTGTCTGTAATATAGCAAAGGTTCAGCAGCAAAACCAAGGTTTATAATGAGTAACAAGCAGCACGCTGTACTGGGTCAGTCAGGCATTAATCCTGATTTAAGAAACCATATCGTTATTTTGGAATTAAAGGGGCTATGCAATCAAAATGCTTCTTTGTGCAATTGAAAGTGCTTTACATTCTGCCTGTAGAATGTGTTGCTAATTTTATTAAAAATTTTTAATGTATCGGCTGTATTTGCATTTATTTATTTTAAAATGCTGAATTTAAGTGTTATTTTGTCTTAATAATCAATCATTATTTGCAAACAGGTTTAGAAATGCAGAGCCTTGTTACGACATCGGTTAAACTGTTGGAAACATTTCCCATATTTCAGCCATCAGTTGAATGGTTTCCAATAATACTTGTCTTTTTTCAGGGAAGGACAATAGTAGCTTAAATTGGAAGCACACAACAGAATTCTATTAAAAAAAACAAAAAAAATAATGTTTTGCTTGTGCTTTTTACTTTACTGTATTTCACATGATTATCTATGAGAAGCTCAATTAGAGTTTGAAGTGCATCTTGAAACTAAAACAATGCAATTCCAGGATGGCCACCTCCTCACAGAAAACCCAGTCTAATGGCAATTACAGCAAACTTTATTAAACCAAGACGAATCTCATTTTGAATGTGTGCACTTAAAGCGATTTTCAGGTGATGGAAATCCTTTAAAAATCTGTCAGTTTCTTTTATTATAATAGTTTATTACAGGTGGATCACATAACATGCTTTGATACATACCGACTGCATATGAAACTGTTTTATCATTTCCACTTGCAAATTCACTATATCTCTGTGACATGCTTCCCTAAAAGATAAAGTATAGGTAAGGTATGGTTTACTTGAGATGGATGTAAAAATTCTAAATTACACAATACAATAATAAAAATGAAAACATGCAAAAATAAATATTTAAATACAACAGCTCCAGTGGGTAGAATACCAAGGAACCTTTTTTTACCACTAGTCCCTTCAAAGACCATTCAAAAATGACATGAAACCTTTGTTCTAAGACATATTTTCAAAGAGAAAAAAATTATAATAATTAGCTGGTCTTGAGAAATAAAGTTGTGCTAATCGACTTAAAAGGACACTCAAGGCACAAAAACAACTTCATCTAAATGTTTCTTTCCAAGCCAGTTTAGTAAATGGGTTTTTCTCATCCAATCAGTGGCACCCCTGCCTGACCACACTCCACATTTACTGAATCTGAAAAGTCAACTTTGGGGCTAAACCATTCTAGTGCCTCGAGGGGCATCCTCACACCATAACTTCATGTATATGTTGTTTTGGTCCTGCAGTGTCACTTTAATCCCACTGGTTAGTTAAATACCTTTAGGTTACATCCCATTGGCTAATAAATCGTTCCATAACGAAACTGGTCGGCATTTTAGGAAGGGCTACTGCTGCTGAATTCTAACTGCGACTACACAAAACATAAGCAACGAGGTTCGGTGTATACAAGCTCCACATTGCATAAGGAATACCGAAAACTGCTAATCTTTTATTCCATTCTGAAGGACGGGAGGAACCAGAGACTCTAGTGAGGGCGGTTTTCAGCCATTCAAACCTCTGTGCTCTTTTATAATGCAATACATTCTTGTAAGTTCAATATATATATAGAAGGCAGCTTTGTTCAGTGGAAAAGTGTTGCCCTATAATTTGCTTCATTTGATCTTTTCCTTTATGTAAATAAATTTTATTACATTGGGAAGTTTTACATTGGTACATGAAAAATATTCTTTGTATGTTTTAGTGAAGAATTTTAACACTTACTTCATTTGATTTCACACTACATTGTTTTAGAAGTGTTTACCAATCTTGTGATATTTATAAATTATATTATTTGCAGTGTCATAACAATACAGATTTTAAAAACTAGTAGAATGAGGTATGGTGGTTACTTTGTGTAGAGCAGTGATTTTCAATCATTGTGCCTCATGCCACCTCGAAGTGTTTAACAAACAATTATTTCAGAGCTACAATAGGTTGAATCCTTAAGTGTGTTTTTTTTTTTTTTTTTTAAAGTATTTCAGCATTACAATTGGGATTCCCATCTGGCAACGAACTAAAACGAATAGGTTAATTTAGCTAGAAGAATGTATCTCTCTCTAGTAAGGTATCCATTAAATTTGGTTTCTAGGTTGCAAATGAAAGTAAAAAGAAAAGCTAGTAGGTGTGCCTTTAAAAAAAATAAAGAAAGATTTGTGTGACTTGGTCCAAAAAACAGATTGGTAATCATTTGCTTAGCACGACCTGTTTTTTTTGCCATTTTTGACCGTGTACATTTAAAAAAATAAATCTTTGACCACATTGGAATATCGTTGATATTCAGAATATTGGTAACAAAATATTTCTAGAATAATAAGAAATTCAGACAGTACTTTAAATGATTGACATAAGTTTAAGCCACACTTGTCAAAGAGTTTTCATTCTTCTTTTTGATCCATTAACCATAGCGTGGAGGATCAATAACCTACGTGACTATTTTGAGATGGCTGGCTGCTTTCTAAACCTCCTGCATTTAAATATAAATGGGATATTACATCCAGACAAACTATATTTGATAGAATACAGTATTTTAACTCCTAGGAGGACAACATTTTATTTTTTTTGTTCCTTCGATTTTTGCGGTTTTATTGTTTAATATACTGCTGCAGAATATTACTTGCCAGAGAGCAGAGCATCATTGCAAAGGAAATAAATTACAAATATATTAGTGTATTAGATTTTAGTTAAATTATAATATGGTTACAATTTTAACGATGAGTTAACATCTGACTCACCAGCGTATTAAAGCATCGTATATTTAAGTCACAATATTGACAAGCTATTTTATTTTAAGAGAATGGTCTCTTGAGGTGCCTAGCTCTGTAGATTTACACATGTGGTTCACAGGCTTTCAGACTCAACAGCTGCCGAGAATTCTATTTGCTAAGATGAATCCCCCCCGAGTACTATCACACTGCACAAGGATGGAAAGGGTCACAGATCTCCACTGTCGGATGCTTTTCTTGTGTAGAACTTCCAGACACAAACCCATCTGGTAGACTGTCGTGTCAAGTTATAGTAAGTGTTTTTCAGGTCATTCTGAGCAAGATAATGCAATATTTGCAGATTCAGACGGTAAACTAGTTATTTCAACATCAAGACAAAATACAGAGATATATTCCATGTAATTCCCTTTCTAAAAGACTTGTAAACTATAGAAAATCGAGCAGCTCCCTCAGCTTCCAAATTTTTTTTTTTTAAATTTTTTTTATACTGAAGCTTTTTTTTTTTCCTTTAGTCAAGTCTTAAGTGGCCATACTACATACATTTGTGATTTAGCATGAGTAGTTCTATTCTATGGTTACTTTCATGAATTTAAAAAGCACGAACATTGTGCCCTATCCTCACCCTTTTTATAGTATGAAATAAAATAAATAAGATTACCGGAAATCATCAAGTGTTTCTTCAATCATATTCTTGATGAAGTTAATCTGAACAGATGTTAACGGCGCTCCACTTCGGTCGCTGGCGAGGGAATCTGCTATTTTTTCTGACAATGAACTGGCAACCTCTGTGCTGATGGATGCGGGTACCTTGTAGGGAGCTGGAAACCGAGAAATCAGTGTTCCACATAAATGTCTCATACATATTTTTGTTTCAAAATATATATTTGTCCAATCATAACATCAGAGAAATATACTTAATCACATAAAACTAGCATTTTTTTTTTTTTTTTAAAGCGCTAAGCAGCACTGCCAGTACAACTCATTGTGAGGGGCTATGAGGCTAATGGGTCTTTAAGCACGCCAATTTTTTACATAACATGCTTAATGCTGACGTTTTGCATTATGCCATGTCATCGAGAGGGCCAAGCTTTGGATTGTTGGGAGAGAGAATTTTTTGTCAAACCATTTAAAATGGCTAGACACAGTTTATAGTTTATAAAGGATCTGTCACTCCTCTGGATTTTACATAATTGAATATATATATATTTAAAAAAACCTTTAACTTGAGTTGATTTTTTTCCCTCTCTCATTAAATTATTTACCTGATTGCAGTGCCATGATCTCTCGGCACTGGCTCAGTGTCGTCCTATCATGTCACGGCAATGGTGGACACTATTTTGCATGCGCTGCAAGTGCCGTGCACGAATTAGGGTTTCCCCATTGGAAAGTATTTAATCAATGCTTTCCTATTGGGATTTTAAAGACGCTGGACATCCTCATGCAAAAGCTTCAGGAAGCGCCTCTGTTTCACATTGCAGTGCTAAGGAAACAGGCGCACTGCACCCACACCACTTCAGCGAGTTGGAGTGATATGGCTGGCTAGTGTCCCTTTAAAGGACCACTCTAGGCACCCAGACCACTTCAGCTTAATGAAGTGGTCTGGGTGCCAGGTCCAGCTAGGGTTAACCCATTTTTTCATAAACACAGCAGTTTCAGAGAATCCTCTATGTTTCAGAGAAACTGCTATGTTTATGAATGGGTTAAGCCTTCCCCCAAAGCCTCTAGCGTCTGTCTCATTGACAGTCACTAGAGGCGCTTGCGTGCTTCTCACTGTGATAGCACGCCAGCGTCCATAGGAAAGCATTATGAATGCTTTCCTATGTGACCGGCTGAATGCGCGCGCAGCTCTTGCCGCGCATGCGCATTCAGCCGCATGGGAGGAGAAGAGGAGGATAGCTCCCAGCCCAGCGCTGGAAAAAGGTAAGTTTAAACCCCTTTCCCCCTTCCAGAGGCGGGCGGGAGTGGGACCCTGAGGGTGGGGGCACCCTCAGGGCACTATAGTGCCAGGAAAACGAGTATGTTTTCCTGGCACTATAGTGGTCCTTTAAGACAAGGCAAAGGAAAGCGCAAACAATTGCTAATGAGGAAAAATAAAAACCTTTTTTTAAATTTCTCCTCTTTTCTATGCTGGCTGGCAGGGGCAAAGTACAGAACAAATGACCGTAACTGGCAGGAAGCCTAGATAGATATGTCTAGTTGCAGAATAAAGAGTTGTGGAATTCTACCTTTAATTTTATTTGTTACACCTCACACATACTTATTTGTTAAATACAAGATAAGCAAACATAATATAATACACCCTGGAAAATGACAGTTCCCCTTTAAATACTATTTGTAGTGGTTAGGGTAATCTGTACTTTTTAGGGTATAGTCCAAAAATGGAAATGCATCCCACGACACACAATCTCCCCTAAACGGTTTTATAACTGGTGAAGATAACAGGAAAATAAAGTGGACAAGTCAAATTCAAAACCTACAGAACTGACAAAGTTTATAGATTGTAAGTCTATCAGGTGTAGTTAACCTATTGTAGAAAAATAAATTCATAAAATAGTATCAAGGTAGCAGAAATCCTAATGGAATACACAGCCAATGAAATAGATTAAGACAAACATACTGGTTGTGCTTGGCTTTTTTTGTTTTCAAGTTTACCAATGGTCCCTACGGGAGCAACCACAGGCCATGCCACTGGCTTCCATGCGTAACAGAGGAAATGAACATGCTGAATGCATGAGCTCTTATTCAAATACAAAAAAAGGTAAACATTTTAAAAAGTGTGATCCAGTCCATAAAACAGAATTCCATTGCTGAAACACACGTTTACATGCATATTTCTACGAACTGTGGATCATGAAAAGTTCTGCATCTAACTCTTAATGGTTTATTTTTAATCAACGTTTTTCTCAGACTCTGATTCCAGTAATTTTCCAAGAATAACTGATGGTGAAACATGCACTACTGGTAACAATTAGGCAGATTTTCATTCTGAAGGCATTAATCACTAATTTCACAGATGTGTGATTTGAAGGAATTAGAATTCTGAGCTCATCAATGGCCTTACAAAGGCTTTATTCAATCTTCATAAGAGTTTCTTAAAATTATTTTTTTCCATTGGTACAGTGGAAACAGAGAATGTGTTAAGTCTGTTCCATGCTAGTTAGAGAACATCTAATAAGGACTTTTATAGAGAGGACAATATTATAACACTGCCATCTTAATTCAAATAATTCTATTTTAATTTAAAATGTACTTTAAAATGTTAGTTATCAGCCAGTACACGTATCGTGTAATAGAAATATTGATTTTTTTTTTTTTATTTAATTTTTTGAAAAGATTATACAGTTAAACATATAGGCCATGAAAAATACGGTCTCAAACTTAAACCGTTACTATGTATTGATAAAAATCTTTCAGAAAGTAGAGGGAAGATAAATTGCAACAGAAATCTTCACCAACCTTATGAAAACTAAACTACTTACTTGCCACCTTGGTGCCATTTGGAGGAAAATCAGGTTTTAACTGAGACATGGTTTGCTTCCCTGTTCTTTCCATTGCGTCTGGAGTCCGAGATAGAGGAACAGGTGAAGTATTGAGGTTAATCAGCTCTGCAGTCTGTATTTTCGATTGCTTTTAAAGTGACAAGAAAAAGTCACTAAGAAACAGGTCATCAATATATCTTAATACACTCCAACCCTACCCCCAACAACAATTCAAGTCAACATAAAAAAGCCTAGTCATATCACAGGAATTTCAGAAAGTGTGCAAACCCCAACAAAACATATACAACTGACAACAAAATATGCTCAGTCCAAATATTAGTTCAACAGCATGGAACCCAATTCTACCAACAGATTGATTTTTGGTGCACCAGCAATGTTTTTTTACAAAACTAGATTTTTAAAATCAGAGATTAAAGGAACACTTAAAAAATAAAAAATAAAAATGAAATAAAAACACCAGCAACAAAAATACAAACTATTTAAGATATACCCCCTTTGGATGACATCTTGGCTTTCAATAACTGCAGATCTTGTGTCTGCAGCTACTGCAAGTTGTGCCCATCTTCCCCAGCACAGACATTCTGTGGCTGTCCAATCACAGGCTTCCCAATGACAAGTATTTTTATGACCGTAGTTCTGAGCAATAGAGTGCCTATTAAGTTTAGGAAGTAGCAGGACTGGCTGCCTTAGGATAACTCGGGGCGTACAAAAAAAGTGCTGATTTCTATTTAACCCCTTGAGGACGGAGTCAATAGTACACGTTCTGATCAAAACAAAATGTAAACAAAAACTGGTATTTGCGCTATATATGTCTGTTTAACCGTAATTCACCTCTTTCATATTAAGTGCACCCACACTTATTATATATAATTTTGTTCAGGAGAAACTGGGCTTTAATTTCTCACGAACTATTCATATTTGAAACAATTTATTATGAATAAAATTTTAAAAACTGAGAAATTAAGATTTTTTTAAAAAAAAAACTTTGCAGACATTTTAGCTGTGAATGTCATAATATCGTTAGCTTTAACTGCAAAAAAAAAAAATACATATTTGGATTCAGCAAAGTCTCACAAGTACAACAGTACCCCCTATTAACAGTTTTTACGGTGTTTTGGAAAGTTAAAGGGTCAAATATAGCACATTCCATTTTTCTGTTTTTTCACATTGAAATTCGCCAGGTTGGTTATGTTGCCTTTGAGACCATGTGGTAGCCCAGGAATGAGATTTACCCCCATGATGGCATACCATTTGCAAAGGTAGACAACCCAAGGTATTGCAAGTGGGGTATGTCCAGTCTTTTATAGTAGCCACTTAGTCACAAACACTGGCCAAAGTTAGCGCTCATATTTGTTTTTGTGTTTGTGACTAAGTGGCTACTAAAAATGACTGTACATACCCCATTTGCAATACCATGGGTTGTCTACTTTTTCAAATGGTATGCCATCATGGGGGTAATTCTCATTCCTGGGCTACCATATGGGGTACCATATGGTCTCAAATGCAACGTAACCAATCTGGCAAATTTCAATGTGAAAAAAATTAAATGCAAGCCTTATATTTGACTATCTAACTTTCCAAAACACCATAAAACCGGTACATAGGGGGTACTGTTATACTTGGGAGACTTCACTTAACACAAACATAAGTGTTTCAAAACAGTAAAACATAACAATATCATCAGTAAAAGTGCCCTTCGTGTGTGAAAAATGCAAAAAAACGTAACTTTTACTAAATATATCATCTTTGTAATACAATATATCATTTTGAAACACTAATATTTGTGTTCAGGGAAGTCTCCCGAGTAAAACAGTACCCCCTATGTACAGGTTTTATGGTGTCTTGGAAAGTTGCATGGTTAAATATAGCGCGTGCGAATTTAATTCTCTGCAGTTGCTGCCTGGGTTGTCAGGCACGTCAATCAAATTTTAACTAATTAAATCACATAATTATGTTAAACTATTACTTAAGCATACTCGTAGAATTTTTATGGATACATATATAGTTATTTAAATTCTACGTGTATACCTATGTAGTTTTTTATATATGTATTTATCTATATATAAATGTTTGCAGTTATTTGTATTTTATATATAGATATATATAAATATATATATATATATATATAGAATGTCATTCTAAGTGTATTTTGTTACACACACACACATACATATATATATATATATATATATATATATATATATATATATATATATATATATATATACACACATATATATTAATAACAAAATACAGTTAGAATGAGATTACATATGTATATATAATTTAATAATTTTATTTTAAACTTCCCACCAGCAGGGGGACTGTCTGACATTTCAGGCAGCCCTCCAGAAGAGGATCGCGGCGGAGGTAAGGCTCCTGGGGCTAAAAGCAGTTACGGCATTCTATGCCGCCGCAACGGCTTTAAAGCCCATTTAATGTGGGACAGCATAGAATAAGAATAAGGGGTTAAAGATGAAGTACCTGTGTTTGTTTGGAGTGTTCCATTAATTCTGGGGAGGAAGATTAAAATAGCCACACACACAAAAAAAAAAAAAGTGTTATTTACCTGCCAGGCACTTTCTTTCACATCTGATTTTGAAAAATATGGCTTTGTTGTTTTCAGCTCTGTCTCTGGACTTTCATCTTCTTCTTTAATTGGACTACCAATTATTAGATGCAATGGGGATGAATGTATACCTTGAGAGTTGGCTCCAACAGGATTTCTTCTTGAATGCATAGAATTGAATTGAGCATGATAATCAAGATCTATAGATGATTCAAAACACACAAAACAAAAATCATCACCACCACATCTGCTGTAAGATAAGTAAATAGTACCATAACATATACACAAATGAATCTTAAAAGGACCACTCTAGGCACCCAGACAACTTCAGCTTAATGAAGTTGTCTGGGTGCCTGGTCCAGCTAGGGTTAACCCATTTTTTCATAAACATAGCAGTTTCAGAGAATCCTCTATGTTTATTAATGGGTTAAGCCTTCCCCCTAATCCTCTAGTGGCTGTCTCATTGACAGCCACTAGAGGCGCTTGCGTGCTTCTCACTGTGATTTTCACAGTGAGAGCACGCAAGCGTCCATAGGAAAGCATTATGAATGCTTTCCTATGTGACCGGCTGAATGCGCGCAGCTTTTGCCGCGCGTGCGCATTCAGCCCAGGAGGAGGAATGGAGGAGGATCGGAGGAGAAGAGCTCCCCACCCAGCGCTGGAAAAAGGTAAGTTTAACCCCTTTTCCCCTTTCCAGAGCCGGGCGGGAGGGGGTCCCTGAGGGTGGGGGCACCCTCAGGGCACTATAGTGCCAGGAAAACGAGTATGTTTTCCTGGCACTATAGTGGTCCTTTAAGTAGGGAACAAACCTTAAAATGGTTTTGCAAAGAAACTCATGTACCCCAAATGCCCAATACATTTTTGCAGCATCCAAAACCTATAATTTTCCATTTTCAATAAACCATTTTCTGACTACATTTCAGTGTTCGAACAGCATCGAAACAATTTCATTCTCCAAACGTTCCTTGTCTTCCATTACATTTTAGAAATCCAATTATATTTTACTGATAAAAATCGATGAGACCTTTTTTGGTCTTAAAACCTATATTCCCAAATGTAGCTCCAATCTTCAACGGAGTTTTGGCAGTTTGCAAAATAAAAATAAAACTGCAGCAATATTGTGTGTCCCCCACCTCCCCTCTGTGACATAATGCTTTTACTTCCCAACACAGAAAAGGCATGCATCTTAAATTAGGTTTCAATGGAATAGATTGTAGATATTTAAGCTACAATTAATATGTTTATTAAACAAGAGGAATTTAATTTTGTGTTATGTTCGCTTTTAAAAAAGAGATATCGATTAAATTCTTGGCAAGGAATATCTTTCTTCAAAGGACAATACAATTAGTACCAATACCAGTATAAGCTGGATGTACGCTTACTGGTTAAATATCTTTATAATATATAAAGACAAGAGGGCTGCACTCCCCTGAACATGCATACATTATAACTGTGCTGCTGAGGCCAATTTATACAACATACAAGATCCAGCACATTCACTAAACGCCAAACTAATGCCATGAAAAATAATGTGGTTACAAACTCCTGGAACAAGAATTTAAGATTGTTTTTGCATGCCTGTACATTTATAAAAGAGGATAAAATAATTGGCTCTACCTCCCACCTTTACACCTCTCTGACATTACTTCTGTTTGTAAAGATTCCTACTGAGCATAAAGAGAAGACGGAAATATCCAGAGCTGCTTAGAAACAGTAAGGCTACTAAATATTTCCTCCCCCAGCCAATCTCCCTCCTTAGCTGCAGTATCAAGTCATTATTTATCATAATGCTGCAGCAGATATTAACAGCTTTTTATTGTGAATGGAAACATACTGCTGAGATGTAAAAAAATGTAATAGCTGGATGAGAGACCAGACAACACTCCTGAAAAACACTACCTGCAGAGCTCCACATGACAAATAATACAAAAAAAAAACAAAAAAAAAACACAACAACTTTTTACTTTCAATTCTTGGTATATAACCTTCCTTCTACATGAACAAAACAATTAGATTCATATATATACACACACACACACACACACACACACACACACATTACAGAAAGGGTGCATTCAAATATATTTTTTTTAAAAACCAATCAATTCTAGATTTCCTGCAAAACTCCAAACTATACGGGATATGCCATGAACTCTCTCTAAACCAGGAACTCTCAAACACATTTCATACTTTTTAGAACCATCCCATAAGCAGTGGTTTATGGATGCTGCAAGGGATTCTCAGGGTTTTAGTTCAGCTTTTAGCATTCTACAGCTTAACTACAGTTCCCAGGAACCAGGAAGTCATGACATTCTGAACAGCAGTATTTTTGGAGCAAATACAGAAAAACTGTAACATGGAATGTATGAACAGAACTAATTTAATTATAGAGAAAACCTAATTAGAAGTAAGATTGAGAAAGAAGGAAGAAAACAAAACAAAACATAATCCAGTGTGCGTTGTTGGCTGAAATGCCTCTAACTGGATAGAGGCCAAGGAACCAGGTCTCATGTTTCTTAATGACAAACAATTCCTATAAAGTGGGACAATATTGGTATATACTTCTTCTATGACTTTCCCTCCCCCACCCCCCTTCACCTTTAAGCATGAAGTGGATGCTACTCGTTTAAAACTACATACACATTTCAAAGGAAATGACAAGCAGATATTCTCTCTGCAACACATTCAAATGATTATATATAGTAATGCAAGTCACAATAAGTATGTTGAATTTTCCAGTATGAATAAACATCACATCTATCTGATATCACCCAAAACCTTACAAACACAATAGGACTGTGAATGATGCACATTTACATTTTCCAATTAAATATATTTTTGTGATGTTTGAAATAGGGAACCTTAGTAAAGGTCCTACAAATATGATGATACATACCGTTTCCTTTAAAGACAAAGTCCTCAGCTCCTTTAAGATGAAGTGCATCTGTAAAAAAAAAAGTGTAATGAGTAAAGAGACGTGCCTACATAATGTTTTAAAGGAATAGATGTTCGGAAAATTACACTTAAGGACTTTGCTATTTCAGTAAATTCTTAGAGATTTAAGTTATGTTCTCGATTACAATATTTGCATATGTATTCACACAGTGCTATTCTTTCTCTAGTCACATATATGATAGTTAAAATTAAGAAGCATGAAAAAAAAAATATTAAAAAAAATTCAAATAAAATATACAAAAAAAAAAAAAAAGCAAACTAAAAACAAGGCCACTACACACACACACACTGCACAAAAAAATAGAAAAAAGACAAGCTAAATATACAGAAAACTAAAAATATGAAGTGGTAAATCCTCATGAGATCAGATACTTTTAAAAATGGAATCCTGGCAATTTGGAACAATTATACTGCTAAGCAGCTATAGCAGATGCCAGGATTGTACTATAGAATGAGGAAAGCAACGAGATTCCCCAAAACACAACACTGCTATGTGAAAAACACAAAGAAAGTCCTGAAAAAACATATTTTAATATATTTAAGTTTCATCTAGGAATGTATCTCACTATTTGGTTTTGTATGTACGTAAACATATATGTTCTACTTGTATATCTACTATAAGGCCCAGCTTAATGTGATCTGATATACATGGCAATAATGCATAGATTTTCTTAGGGGTTTATTTAAAAAAAACTCCAAAGTGCAGCCAATTACTGCACTTAACTGTAAAATTATGGTTGAAATCGACATTGGCTACTTTGCCCTACAATTCACTACAATCTGCAAATCAGTAAATAAACCCAACTGTTTTGGATAGCTCCTGGTTCCATTTGTGTTTACATCTGTGGACATGTACATTAGGTACTTTCCATGGTCCATTTGAATCTTATTATATTGCATTCCAGATTATAACTTGTAGTAAAACGGTTGCCTCTTAATATTGCCATATGCTTCGAAAAGTACTATTATTTGTAAGTCATGGATACAGCCTGGATCCCGCAGCTTCCTTAGAAGGAAGGATCTCAATGGGTTTCTTTTCATCTTTCACTCCAAATTCCTTATCAGTAGCAAAGTGAGGCTCTGTCTGCTTAGCAAGCTTATTCACCCAGCACATTCCCCCCCTGCCAGAAACTGAGGGGGTACAAGTCAAAACCTACAGTAACAATTAGGTTCAATACAATTAGATAGATATATATATATTTACCGAGTGTAATGTAAATGTAAATAAGCTGGCTATCATTCCCTCACACCAGTGACAAAGTAAAATAAATAAAATGCTGGCATCAGTTTGACAGCCGACACGACACGCAAACAGAATTCCTTTATTCTTAAGGCGGAATGCCACTCCCTGGAGAGAGCACGCAAGTCAAACACCCGGTTAGTGCTATAAAGGTATCAGCACAGCAGCAAAAAACACTTCATAGTTATTAGCAAAACAATCAAACCACGCAATGAACTGCTATAATATAATAGGAACATCATTTTGCAGAGGTATAGCTAATAAACTCAGGACAATCAGATCATTAACACTTTCTTCTTTCACACGGGTGATGCCTGACAAATGAATGATGCCACTGGTTGCAAAATTCAAAATTACAATTTAGGTTCCTGAGGCAGGAAGTGCTGAAATGCCAGGAAGCATTGCCATAAAGAAAAAAAGGAAGGAAGAAAAAGAAAGAAAGAAAGAAAAAGAAAAACAAAACATTAAGCTAAGTTAATATGTAAGGGGTCAATATGAATAAGTAACCTAAATGATGGGAGTTCCCTTTAATAGGTTAAAAATATTTAGTAACTTACCATCCTTCACGGGAGAGAATATGTCACCTAAGCTACTTCTTCCAAATGAATCCATGGATTTTAATTCAGAACTTTTGTTGTAAACGTTTTCTTTTGATGGGATTACATCAAGACTGGAACTATGTGGTATACCTATATAGATATTTAAAAAGAAAATGTTAACTAAAAAAAATAAATAAAAAAAACGTAACTGCACTTTAACCAAAATAGAGCTGTGAAATATGCTAGTGCAATTTAAAGATAATTATTTAGCAAATATTTTCTTATCCAAAATGAAATGACAATGGCAGAACACACACAAACCTTCTTACATTATACAACAATGCTCAATAAAGAGAACAGCAAACCACAGCAGAAGCTAAAATGTACATTATCGGAATATAAATCAACAGAGAAGAACATTATGTGAAAATCACTTCAAAGGCATGGTCTGAATGCATTAGGCATGCATAGAGTTGTAACTGTCTATTATTAAAAAACATTTATTAAGCTGTAAGGTAAGAAAATCCGGTCCATTGTGGTTTTAAAAGAGTAAAACAGACCTTATATTAAATATATAGTTGTAACTCAAGTAAAGCACTCTCTGATCATATATGTAGGTTTCTACATAAAAGCACAAAATAACACAAAGCCTTCCAAAGTAATGGATGCAGACAATAAAAAGTTGATCAGAAAATCACTGGGAATGCAAACCAGTAATTTTTCATATAATATGTAGTTATGTTGCTGCTCCTTTAGGATAAATAGTTGCGGCTTAGAAGAACACTTAAAGGGACACTATATCGTCAGGAAAAAAAGGGTATTGTTGACACTATTATTATTTTATTATTTATATAGCGTCATCAGATTCCGTAGCACTGTACAAAGGTTGGACTAACAGACATTTAATTGTAACCAGACAACTCGACGTACAGGAACAGAGAGGTGGAGGGTCCTGCTCAATGAGCTTAGATTCTAGAGGGAGTGGGGTATAGTGACACAAAGGGTAAAAGTAGGGGTACGAAGTAAGTTGTTAGAAAAGTATTCGCTGAGGGCTTAGTAGGTAATTTTTGACAGTTGCAGGAGAGGAGTCATGGAGGGTGGGGGATAAAAACCTGTTAACAGTTTAATTGATATGCTTTCTTTAAGAAGTGAGTTTTCAATGATTTTTTTGAATAAGTGGAGATTGGGTGAAATTCTTATGGAGGAGGGAAGGGAGTTCCACAGAAGAGGTGCAGCCCAGGGAAAAGTCTTTGAGGCAAGCGTTAGAGGTGGGAGTACGCATAGAGGATATACGTAGGTCTTTGGCAAAGCGTAGGGGCCTCGACGGGACATACTTGTGTATTAGGGAGAATAGGAAGGTTGGAGCAGCATTATGTAGGGACTTGTAAGCAAGCAACAGAATTTTAAATTGAGCCCTATATCTAACTGGGAGCCAATGCAGGGACTGATAGAGCGGGGAGGCGTGGGAGGTGCGAGCGGACAGGAAAATGAGCCTTGCCGCCGCATTCATTATAGATTGCAATGCTGCAATCTGGGAACACTTAAGACCACTGAGAAGAGTATTGCAGTAGTCAAGGCGAGAGAGAACAAGAGCATGGACCAGCACCTTAGCCGCATCCGGGGTTAAATAGGGGCGGATGCGCGCTGTGTTTTTGAGATGGAAGTGAAAGGATTTGGCGATTGATTGGACATGAGGGGTGAAGGAGAGGTTGGAGTCAAAGAACACCCAGGCAGCGAGCCTGCGAGGTAGAGGTGATGGTAACGCTGTTGACTTGGAGGGAGACAGACACTGGAATAGTATCAGATCAGAAGTTCAGTTTTGGACAGGTTGAGTTTAAGGAAGTGAGCAGCCATCCATTTGGAAATCGAAGAGAGGCAGTCAGAGACACGAGTCGATATAGTTCTAAACCACCATTTAGGTGGTCAGCCCCACCCTCACCTCGGTTTAAAAAAAAAGTGATTTACTCATTTTACCAGCACCACGCAGGGCTACTCATGTCTAGCCCCGCCCCCAATCCTCCTCCTTGGCTTACATCATGAGAATTGATGATATCAGCCAATCACAATGCTTTCCTATAGCAAAGCATTGGTTTGGCTGAGATAGTCAATTCTGTTGATCCCAGCCAAGGAAGTGGGGCATGGGCAGTGCCAAACGCCGACCTGGCCAATCAGCATTCCCTTATAGAGATGCATTGAATCAATGCATCTCTATAGGGAAACTCCAGCGTCTCCCGCATTGACCCAGGAAGTACTTCTAGTGGCCATCTGAGAAGTGGCCACTAGAGGTGTTCCTAGGCTGTAATGTTATAACTGCCTTTTCTCTGAAAAGGCAGTGATTACATTAAAAAGCCTGCAGCGACTGACAATACTCACCATAACAACTACATTAAGCCGTCTTCCTGGTGACTATAGTGTCCCTTTAGAGTGGATCGGTCGCCAAAAAATAACCATCATCTAATGTGTCTATCGGATTCCCTGTGTCTGAATCACATTTTCCCCTTAGCATGCAACGTTACATAAAATACATAAAGAATAGTAAGGACTACTTTTCTTCTGTATAGCAGTCAAGCCGACAAAACTTGACAGTGGGCGGAGCCTAAAGCAAGGCTTTATTTCAGTTGCCAATCAAAATCGATCCCACAGAAGGCAGTCCTCATGGGCAGACAACAAAAATTAAAAAAAAAAAAAATTTTTTTAAATTGATAGGAACTTTAAAAATAGTGATCACCAGCTCCTAGTTAACTACAATTCATTTTCAGCTTTGCCATTTAGAGCTGAATACAATAATCATCCAACATGTTTATGATTCCATGCTTCGTCTAGGAAAAAAAAACACTATTTATAATCCCAGCCCAACCATATCTCTCACATCTCAATAAACCCTAAAGTGATAGCGGTCTATCCTTGTCATTCATCGTATTTGGACCAAATTTCTTTTGCCAATTTAAAATAATTTGGGTGAATTATGAAGTATATGCTCTATAGTTCTGTCACACAGAGAGAATCACATACTCCGTCCAGGCTCATACTCCAGAATCCCTCTACAGAAAGGGGGTACTTCAGTAAAATCAGCTGTAGACGAGGAGCAACAGACAAAAGATCATAGGTCTGTAATTTGCTACAGCTAGGTAGATTTTTCTTATTTTAAAAGAAAGCCTTCAAGCACCATAAGAACTACAGTCCAGGGTAAGTAATCAAACCACTTGGCAACTTACCTGGGTTCCCCCAGGTGCCAGTCACCTACTCCCATGGAGGTGGAAGGTCCTGCAAGAAGTTACATTGGCTCAACTGAGTTAAAGGACCACTATGGTGCCAGAAAAACACACTCGTTTTCCTGGCACTATAGTGCCCTGAGGGTGCCCCCACCCTCAGGGACCCCCTCCCGCCCGGCTCTGGAAGGGGGAAAGGGGTAAAAACTTACCTTTTTCCAGCGCTGGGCGGGGAGCTGTCTGCCTCCTTTCCTCCTCCGTTCCTCCTCCTGGGCTGAATGCGCACGCGCGTCAAGAGCTGCGCGCGCATTCAGCCAGTCGCATAGGAAAGCATTTACAATGCTTTCCTATGGACGCTTGCGTGCTCTCACTGTGAAAATCACAGTGAGAAGCACGCAAGCGCCTCTAGTGGCTGTCAATGAGACAGCCACTAGAGGATTAGGGGGAAGGCTTAACCCATTCATAAACATAGCAGTTTCTCTGAAACTGCTATGTTTATAAAAAAAATGGGTTAACCCTAGAAGGACCTGGCACCCAGACCACTTCATTAAGCTGAAGTGGTCTGGGTGCCTAGAGTGGTCCTTTAAGCCCTTTCATGCAGGACCAGCTCACTTTGAGTGTCAACTGAGCACTTCCATCTGATGTTATGGTGCTTGATGTATTGATTTAACGCATCATCCATCCAAAAGGAATACTAATATTACTACCTCCACCACTAATAATCATTTAAAAAAAATAAGTAAAGAAATAGGTAGTAAAAATTAGCCTGGAGGATGCAAAATGAAACTTGAACTTTTGTGAGATGGATATTGAAATATATGTTTTTAAATCATAGCAAAACCCCCAATCTATTGATAATGAGTGTAAATACAACATAATACTAGCTATTTGCATGGCACTATGTGAAACTTAATTTAGTGAACGAGTACTGCATACTGTTCATTACATCCTGCATTGTATGTACTTAGCAGGCAGCTAGACAATGTAATTAATAACAAAATTAAAATCATACTAAATACAGCAAAACATTTAGAAACCAGTCTTATTTTAGTGTTTCAATTCACATATAAAAGGATAAACACTAATGCCAATTAAAAAAAGAAACGGAGAATTATAATGCCTATTATAATGGTGTCTGGCACAAAAATGATTTGATAATGAATATATGTAGACAACACTAACTTCTGAGTTCCAAAAATAGATGCTACAGATTAAGGCATGTGGGTCCAGAATATATGAATAACTTTTCTTTACAATTCAGAGCGGATGTTTTTCTTTTTATAAACTAAAGGGTAAACATTAGCAATTTAGAAATTTCACACATTAAAAGAAGAATGGAAACATTCTAGAAATCGTTTCCTGACAAATAGATTTCTAAAGAAACATTTTCACTTTCCAACTTAACGTTCAGCCCTCCTCAATGCACAACACATTAATATATAATACAAGTAAACAAAACCTTATACCCAAAATGTCTTCACTTTGCTCAATTCCTTTGCTATCCAGTGCTGGCTGAGCTAATGCTGAAGACATTGGTGATTGCAAATCTTTGATTACGTTTGCACTATGCGTTCCTCCGACAATAGATCCTGACTTGGTGGAAGGTTTCTTATTCATAGAAGAGGAGATCAAAGATGATTTACTTGAAGAACCTTTGCTACTCTGTGTGTAGGAAATACATAAACAAACAAATTCAGACTGCATTTTGCATTATAATTTGACAAAGATGCATTAACCAGATTATAGCATTCAGACATTAAAAACAAGATACTTTTAACCCCATAAAGATCACCTTGTGATCCTCTTAGGACCACGGCAGTTAATAAGTTTACCATTTCAAGCTCACACTTAAATAAAATTATATAACACATACATGCGCTGAAAACCAACAAGGCATTTTGTTTATCCATTTAAAAAGGATGTCCTTTATCTCACCTTGTAACTATTGCTGTGTTGAAACTGAATGCATTGCACTGATGTTTTGTGAGCACTGACTGTTTTCACAGGTGAGCTTAACATTCTTAAATCATACAGGTAGATTTTACCACGAGACGAGCCAACAGCAAGTGTTATTCCATCATGCATGTAATCTAATGCAGTAAGAGGTGATTCGGCCACAACTGACTGCAGAATCCTTAATGTAAACAAAAACAAGCAAGATCACCACTACTGAAAAAAATATATATACACTTCCACGCAAACAATGCAAAACATTAAGAGAAATTCACTAAAAAGCAGAAACAGCATCAACAACTTCTGTGAGTGCGACAAACTTTACATAAGTGGTAGGGACTGGTAAAGTACATAAGATCAATTCTAACTAGGCTTGGTCAGAATTTTAAAATGAAACCATGAAAACAAAAACAGAATACTGAAGTCCTATTTAAACCACCTTTTCAGAAGAGGTTTTAGTACAGGTTAACTCTAAGCATCACAATTGCTATAGCTCACTGTAGTTGTTATGGTGCTTTGAGTCTTTGGGTACTAACATGCCTCCAGTGCATGTAGCCATGATGTATCCCAAGGTTAAATCCATACATAATATGCACTTGGAGCCAAAGTCATATTTGTGCTCTCATTTTGAATGTAAAACAGATTATACATACTGGCTCTGCTAGTGTGATAGTCACCAAAAAAAAAAAAAAAAGCTCTGCTTGATAAACTAGGACAACCTTAGTGTATAATGCTATACAAGTAATATGACAAATCACCAATGAGTAGGTAGGTCAACTGACATACTCATTCTATAAGTGGATCACAGTCTGAGGTTTCCTGACTTAATTCTCGGACTGCAACAGAATTAGCTGGGCAGAGCCGACGGGCGCAGACTTCAAGACTTTGCGGTTAAACTGCTCATGAACAGTTTAATCCTTGATGTAAGCAGACATCCAGGGTTCTCTTGGCATCATAACTTTGTTTCGATTAAAAAAAACAATGTAAACGTTGTTATGGTGACCGGAATGTCTCTTTAAAGCACAAGATCATGGATTCTTAAAATATTCAGTTTGGCTACTTTGACCTTAAAAGTGTAATTCACCTTGAATTCTCACTTTAGTGTATAACCCGGACAATTAAAGAAAGAAAGGCATATTAATCTGTATTTTTTTATTAAATGCAGTGTATTTTTTCTTGTTTTTCTTTACAATCCTTTTAGCAATACCCTGTGCCCTGTCAAGTGCCAGAAGAAAAAATATTTAGTGGAAGGGAGCATGGATGAAGAAAGAAAGAAAATAATTAGAGGGGGGAAAAAAAATGATAACAGGTGATATTAGATAGATTCAATTTATTTAGGATATTTACAGACTATCATGTACCGTACTTGTACCTCATTCAATAACTCTTGAAAGTTGTTTTGTACAGAAATGGCAAACACAAATAGTTCATGTGAAACAAGGAAATGTAGTTCCATATTTAATGCACAAGGGAATAGAGCAGATATTCACTTGTGTACCTTGTATATGTAAACATGGTTTATGTCCTGTAACCTGAAATTAAGCTTCTCAGTTTGTATTTTTAGACCAACAGCAGCAACAAATGTTTATGACATCCACATATGATATCCAGCTTACTATATTTACTGTTCAACAACTCCTGCTGTAAGTATAAGCAGCTAGAAATCAGCATTGTGTAATTTAAATTGCATTTTTTCCCTTTTAATACAGAGGATACAACACTTCAATAAAACTTGATATTAGGACAGAATACGTTCTCAACTGTAAACTTTAAACATCTTCTAGAAAAAAAATAATAAAAAAAGACACTTACTTTTTGCTGGATATATCATAACAAATAATTCTTTTATCCAGTCCTATGGTGACAAGCAGCAACTCATTCACCGGGGAAAAACATATTCCTGAAGCTGGGGCCTTGTGTGCGCTATCAAACATGTGATACGGACTCTGAGTATTCACATCCCAAAGAGTTACACTACCGCTGTCTGAGACTGCACCCAGCAGAAACTTCTTTATAAATGAATACTTCACATGGCGAATAGGCTGGACAAACAGGAAACACTTATCAGTGAAACAAAAGTGTTCAGCAAGCCACAGGTACATCATTAAAGGTACATTATAATCCCCACAAAAAAATGTTTTGACTCAAATAGTAAGAGGGAAGAAAAGAAAGGGACAAAGTCAGGAATTCGGATTTTATTGAAGAAAAAAAAAAAAAAAAAAAACATTGTTTTGGCACACACAGAAGCCTTTATCAAGCTTTTATATGAACCAAAATGTTGTTCCAACGTCTGTGAGAAAAGTATACATTGTGATTTTTGCATTTTTCACTTTCACGTTTTTGTATGCACAAATATTTAGAGTGGTCTTTTAGGTTGCAGGACAGCCCTTTAGAAAAAAAAAAAATATATATATATTTTATGTAGCTTTAAATTAATTAATATAGGTGATCAGGATGTTGTAAAAAAAAAAAAAGTGATATCACACTAAAATGCCTGCGGATCTCAAGGCAACACGTAGATAATTAAAGAGTTACATATTAAAAAAAAAAAAAAAAACCAAGACAGTCTCTTCATTGCAGTATCTCTGATGTCAACAGGCTTTTGTCCAAATACATCTCAAAGAAAAGCACTGTGGACTTAATGTACATGGGCAATAAATGCCGCAATGCGCACATCAAATTCTTTATAACAGAAGCACTGAAATCAGGGGGCAGTTACTTTTTCCACAGTACTTTACATGCAAAACCATATGTCCACTCAGATTCGATAGACAAAATTGCCACTCCAATGGTTAGATCAATAAAATAGAAGGCGTCAACAGGTCATATTTCAGCACTAAACTTTTTGAATTTGCATAAAAATTTGTATTCATAAAATAAATCCTTTAAGATGCTCCATGGATAGTGTTCTACAGTATATTCACTGTAACAGCTGTTTTCCTTCTTAGGTGCATGATTTAAAGCATAATCTTGATTTACAGATTCTATTGACCTGTGGTTGTTTACAGACTACAAAAAAAAAAAAGTGCATGACGCATGAAGTCTGACAATTTTATTTCATTAGCAACCAATGTGCTTAAAATCATATAAAGAATGTGAAAATATATACTTTGATTTCTTACTTTAAAACCACAAAATATATATTAATTAGAACTGCAAACACACACACAAAAAAGGAATATATTTAAATCGAGTACAGTCAGTACCTGGCTGCTTCCATGACCAAACGGTGTGCAGGATAAATTGGTAGTTACATTATGCAATATGATTTCTCCACTCAAAGAGCCCGAGGCCACATAGCAGTCATTCCCATTAAATGTAACACACGTTACTTCATCCCTGTGATCCTAGAAGAGATCAGCTGAAATAAGAACTCAGAAACAAATACATTTCCACTCAAATACATCCTGGCTTCTCAATCTGGTGTGAGATGATTCACAGCTTCAGGCTACTCAGGGCTATTTGAGATTTTGTAACCGCAAGACCTTACCTTTAACGATCGATGAAGTCTTTTAGATTTCAAATCCCATATGTTCACAGTGCTATCGAGACCACCACTGACTACATACTGAGAACTTGAATTTAAATTTACACAGGTCTGCTGTTTCTATAAGGGAAAAAATATAGGTGATCATAATGTTGTAAAAAAGCGATATCACACTAAAATGCCTACGGATCTCAAGGCAACACGTAGATAATGCAGGATGTGGCTGACATACTTAGAGTCTAAACAAAATACTGCAAATAAGTAAGCAGAGTAGGAACAGCTGAAGCACATTGCAATCCTATAGATAAAAACTATGCTAACCAGTTTGAAAAAAATATATATGTATATTTATTTTTAAATACAGTGAACTAAACAATAAGTTATAGACCAAAAAAAAAAAAAAACCAAGAATGATGTAACTCTAATAAACTAATCTCATTCACACATAGATAGACTGTCTCAGAGATAATAAAATTAAAATAAAACTAAATTAAATGAGCCATTTCTTGGTGTGTGCACTTGATAAAAAAAACAACAACTGTATATGACTGATTTATCAAAACTTTTTACAATTCATAATTAACAGATTAAAGTTTATTTAATTTTGCAGTGGTGATGACTATAAAGAACCCTTAATGGAAACCAACAAATAACAGAGGGGTTTGTTGAATCACGGAGATTTGAAAAGGGAATTGCATGTATTGGGCTAAAAATTGCTGAAACTGAAAAACTGAAACTAAGCCCTTTTCCCATCTTTGATATCCTCCCCACCCCCTCCCCCCCAACAGTGCAATTCCCTTGACATGTCTCCAGAATTTCCAGTTTAATGAATAAACAGGGCACTGTAACCTGGCGGAAAAAACAGAACCTCAACACAGAAGATTCCCAGACATTCTATTGCTATAGACGCCCTAATTTTGCTATATTCTGTAAATATATTTCCATAAAGTGTAAGCTGGCATTTCCCAAAAGGGGTGGCTTCTATATGAATCCCCCCTTTTTGTCTATACTAGGGGGGAAACATCTGGAGTGCCGAAGGTTGCCTACCCATGGATACTGTATTTAATTTTAAAAATGTAACAAACTTCGTTTAGCTCATCAATCTACACAAACCATAGATGTAAAGGAGGGTCAACAACAAAAAAGTCTAGAAATTGTTTTAATACACAGTTTATTTTGAACACTCACTACCCCAAGCAATCTGTCATATGACAAAAAAAATAAAGTGGAATATTTTTGGATTTCCACAACAGTTAACAATAACTCATAGCAATGGTTCCAAATATATGGTTAGATGAACAGATATCCAACATTCTAAACTGGTCAGTTATTTCTAGACCTCACTTAAATTTTTGCTGTTAGTCATCCAATGAGAAATACAACATAAACCATAATATTCTAGGCTTTGTAAACACTAAAGAGACAGACCTATCAGTGTCAAACAAAACATCAATGCTGGAAAGGAATTAATGTGCAACAAGCAAAAAAAACAAATATGTTTTCCATTACATGTAGGTATGGGTTTGAGTAAAAAAGTTAAATACTCCACTAAGACTTTTTTTTCCATCTTGACTTACAGATTTAGCAAACATGTAATAAAACGTAATATAGCGCATGTCCTACAATACAATATTTGAGCTCTAGGATAGCTGAAATAAGGCATTTTTGCTAGCAACCCTGAAGCTTGAACTCTAAACTAAAACTTTAGAGGTCCTCACATGTGGGCCTCTGGATGGTCTCTTGTTAGCCAACAACTCTGTTATCCAACTTACAGACTAGGTCATCCAAGGTAAGAAGAATACTTCAGAAGTTTAAATTCCACATTTTATTAGAGGAGGGGCCATGCTTTAGGTGGCAAGAAAGCCTCAGATTATGTGAATATTCTTGGAAATTGTTTAACAAGGCCAGTGGATACTGTCCATAGACTTATGCCCCACAACCACTATAACTAGGATTTAGGTGAAGTTATGGTGCAGGCACTGCCTTTTTTTAGGGGCAAAAGGAATTTCAGTCATATAAATCGGTCATGAAATAATCTGTGCTTCCTCTGTATTTCTTTTATAATAACTAAATGGGAACCAAATTTTAGACAAGGCAGGTTAGGGAATTAGGTTATTCGCCATATAAAAGAACAGTGGTAAATTTTAATGACCATGAAGAAGAAAAAAAAAAAAAAACAATCACCACTACTTACCCCTTCTGTGAGCTCCAAAAGAGGAACAGGTTTTGACTTGCAGCTTGAAATAACTATTTTATCACCACTGCCCGAAGCCGTGACCAGAAAATGATCTGAACTTGTAGTTACGGACCATGCAATATAATTTGTGAAATATTCTACAGAGAGTGCCAAGTGTGAATGTTAGCATTACCCAAGATTTCTATCAACAAAGGTCAGCATCGGGTTCATGGCAAAAAATAAAAAGTAGATAGCTAGCGAATCTCTAAAATGGCTGAAACTAAAAATAAAATAAAATTTGCTAAACTTGAGATTGCCTCAGTACTTCTGATCTTAACATTTCACTTTGATTGGAGTTCAAAGCAAAAGGCTTCAACAGTGTTGCATCATCAGAATTTAGCCTGTCCTCTCTCTGAATACTACTACAAAGGATATTCAGAGAATTTGGAGAATCCGTGTTTAATCTAGACACCAGACTGCTTATGTTCATTATAATTCTAACAGGTACCGTGGGTGGCATCAATTTACAAAAGAAAACTCCAGTCATACTTTGGGAACGCCTATAATTGCCATGAACTCAATCTTAGTCCCCACAAGAATAAAATCCCACTAAATGCAGCACCCCCTCTCCCCATCCATCCATGTGATCAGAAGAGACTTTTAATAACTGGAAGCAGTTTATGTCAAATATACTTTAAAAAAAAAAAAAAAGAAGGCATAAGAAACAATGCATACAGCATATCATAAGACAAAAATGTATTATGACTTTGTTAAAGGAAGGAATTGCAAGTTTCATAGCCACATATCCACAGTAGCTTATCTTATGGGCAGTGATAACCGGTTTACTGCTTCATAGATTCTCACCATTGTACTCAATTCTTTCTTTGTAAGAAGTGTGCAGCGGTTCTTAAAAAAATAAATAAATAAATAAAAATCAGCGGAGTGTTTTTTTTTTTTTTTTTTAATATTGCGGGCAAACAAAGCCAAAGTGAAAGAGAGGCTCTCCATCTTTGGTATGTGACTGGCACTCCACCCCTATCGCTATAGAAACCACTACCACATACCATGAAGTGCAAATGGAACACAGGTAATATATAGAATATGAAACAGAAAAACAAGTATGCATAACAGATCTATGTATTAACCACCCATACTAAACTGTGAACTGAAGTAAGCACAAGTGAGTTCTAAAAGCACCACGTAGCAATAAATGCCAACATATTGTTGCAAAGGCTGGTTACTACCACAAGAGATAAACTGTTTCAAAGTCTATATATGTTAATTTAATCAAGCACAATAGCTAATATAAGATTTACTACACAATATAGGGGTGAACTACCTAAACTTCTAAACAAGGCATTACTTTACCAGAGTGGAACAGAACGCTGCACATAAAAATATTCACCTAAACATATTCAAGGATATTAACAAATCAATAGATATTTCATCTTTTGGGTAAGGAACAATGAAGGGAATTTCTCTCATTAAGGCCTTTTGGAGCCAAAGTGTCCAACTTCCTTCCTCAGAGCTAAGAAGGTTTGCTATATATGATGAATGCAAAGGGCCCATCAATTTAGGTAATGTGCAGATCCAAGAAATCAATGTGGTCTATGCTAATTTTATAAGTAAACCGAACAGTGGAATTTAAAGCGTTTAAAGGGACTCTGCAGGCACCCAGACCACTTCAGCTCATTGAACGGGTCTAGGTGCCAACTCCCATCACCCTTAACCCTGCAAGTGTAATTATTGCAGTTTTTATAAACTGCAATATTTACCTTGCAGGGTTAAGTACTCCTCACCAGACAGCCACTAGAGGGGCTACCGGCTTCTTAGACAACTTTTGGTAGATAAACGACGCTGGACGTCCTCACGCTAGGCTTGAAGACCTCAAGCGTCGCCAGAATCCATTGAATGATGCTTTCCTATAGGGAGGTTTAATGCGGTAACACGGTCATTGATGCGCATGCGCATTAGGTTTCTGCCAGTGGGAGAGGGATGTTGGCGGAGCAACATTAGCCACTGCAGAATGCCCAGAAAATGTCCCCTGCTTTGCTATAAATATACAGGCATCCTCAGGAAGTGTCTTCTTACTTGCCGATAACCACCTGGGAACCCCTGAAGGGATGTGTTTCCTGCTGGCAAAGATACGATCAGGAATCCCAGGAAGGTAGCCCTTGCTTACCAATAAATGCCCCAGGAAATTGGCCCCTGTTCACTAATAGGTGGGGGAAGTGACCCCTGCGTGCCAATAGATGCCCATGCTCTACATAAAAATGGCCCCTGCTCATCAATACACATCCAGGTGCCATAGTAAAGTCTCCCCTCTTTGAAAATACTCTTCACTATACTTGGAGGGTTTCTAAGGTGGGGTTTTTGTCAAGCATGAGCCACTTTCTGGGGATGCCTGAGTCGTTAGAAAGGGACACTTTCCCAGGTTGCCTGAATAATAGTTAGGCAAAAGGCTTTTGCCTAGGCCAATCGTGCTTTAAAAGGTCAAATAACCATGTGCCCAGGTAAAAGTTTTAGTTTTTTTTGCTAGATATGATGGTCTGCCACATATTATATAGAAATAGTTCACAGTGGCCATCTGTGATTTGTAATTTAAGAGAAATGTCAGTAGTTTATAGAATAAAACATGTTAATTTTACTCAAACATATACCTATAAATCCAGAGAAATTAATAATATTTTCAGCATCTCTTATTTTTCCCCATTTCTCTGTGTGTGTGTGTATATGTACCTACTGTATACTGAATATATAAAACCTTTTACTGTAGCACATTGTCTGACCTCACATTAAAAAAAGTATGGTACTGTGTGCTTTTTTTTTTTTATTATTCTTTATTTTTGTTGTGCTTGACATATCAAAGAGTACTTAATGCACAGTAGGTAGTCTAAACATAATTTGTCTCAACATAGCATTCCAAGTGTATAGGTAAGCCAGCACATTTTTTGTGTATAGAAGAAAATGTAAGTATGACAAGAAAGACACAGTGCAAGTGGATACGAACAGTAGAGTAGTATGCATGTAGGCTCTATGCACTGGGAAATAGCTTTATAGAGTAGGAAGTTATTTGCTGTAAAGGTAGATAAGCTACAAGCTTAGACCCCCCAGAGGCCCCCCCAAGCAAGCCATGAGTAAAAGACATAAGATTCGAAAATTAGAATTGGCACATAGGCTGTTTCGTTGTCTAGATATACTGCCTGGGAGTCCTGTCAGAAAGCAGTCCCCGATAGAGCCCTGGAGTCAACCTCTGTCTTGCAGGGGCCGTGTACAGACCCTCCATAGACGTCCCAGCATGGGGCTCAGTGGTGTACTTGGTAATGTTGGGTTGCTGTGTGTCATTCAGGTAAGTCCCGTGTGGGTAGTGGGGATCCCCTCGATGGTCTCATGATTCTGCAGTCCATGCATCTCACGGTGGGCCTCGGCCTATAGCTTCGGTCGACGTTGTAACAGGAGCCTCTTTCTTCACTTTTAGCCGCACTCTGTAGACTCCATGCACTTGTCCGGGTCTCCTGAGTAGCAGGCCTTGGGTCCCTTCTGGTTTTTCTTTCGCATGGTGCAGTGATGGTCATTGCATAAGGGGCATGCTGCATCCGCCATCTTGTGGTCGCGTGAGTGCCTGTTGATTCTCCCGCGGGGAACCACTTGTCTTTAGTGCTGCCAGGGAGCCTCTAGGGAGTAGACCGGGATAACCCCCACCGGTCCAAAGGGGGGGGGAATGGGGCACTAATCAGCAGCGCAGGTCTAGGGCAGGGATCGGCCGCATCCCCACTCACCCAGATTCTCTAAGCCGCACAGCCAGCTCCGGCTTCCCTGGTAGCGTGGACACCCGGTGGCATCAAGACACGCACTGGTAACACCGTGGTCGGTGCAGGAGCACCCCAGGAGGGCCCGGCATCGTCGAAGAGGGTACAGATTGCAGTAATATCTGCTTTTGTTGGAGTTCGTGCCGGAGCTCTCCCTAGATGCCTCCGTCCGGCATGGCGGTCAGGCCCCGCCCCCTACTGTGTGCTTTTTAATGTGCTATTCTGTACAAGTACATGTTAGAGCTCGCTTTTCTTTAGGGTGTTATTAATCCAGTTTTAAATGAAGGGCAGCTATTTATTATGTAATTAATAAAATACCATTAAGAGGTTTTTGACTAAAAAGTTATTTTAGTTATTTGAAAAAAGGTGACTGAACATGCATCCATCTATTTCTTTCTGTCAAGTTTACATTCAGTTGATGTTGCGGTTTCTGTTTGAGTAGCAAAGTGCCCAGGCCTAGATGATAGAATTACAAGATCTTACTATTAACGTGACAAACACAGGATTTTACTAAAGACACAGAACCAAATATTATGCTTATTTCTTTCTTTTATTTCCTCAGCAGTAAAGAATTGTATATAATGAATAATAAAAACAAAAACAATAACTCTAGCAAGGGTTAACCATAATACCACAGTATGCAATAAGTACATCCCACAGTACATATCCACCCATGCGACCTTAAGCCACATCTCATTCTTGATAATGCTACCAAAGAACACAACAAAATAACCATGTAAACATTAAAGGGACACTGTAGGCACCCAGACCACTTCAGCTAATTGAAGGTGTCTGGGTGCTGTGTCACTATTGCACTTAGTGCTGCAATGTGAAATATTGCTTTTCCAGAGAACTGCAATGTTTATATTGCAGCTCTAAGTCTGCCCTCTGTGGCTATCTACCAGACAACCACTGGTTTCCTGAATCCAAATGGACTTTTTGTCCGTTATCTGATACTAGACGTCCTCATGCCATGCATGTGGACCTCCAGCGTCAGATTTGCCATTGCTGCGCATGTGCATTAGGTTTCCCCCGCTGGGGGAAGAGCGCGGGCGGAGCCTGGACTCAGGTAAGTGGCTGAAGGGGCTTTAACCCCTTCAGCCCCGCTGGAGTGAGGGGAGCAAGAGAGGGGGGGACCTTTTACACCTACAGTTGCAAGAAAAAGTATGCAAACCCTTTGGAATGATATGGATTTCTGCATGAATTGGTCATAAAATGTGATCTGATCATCATCTAAGTCACAGCAATAGACAATCACAGTCTGCTTAAACTAATAGCACACAAAGAATGAAATGTTGCCATGTTTTTATTAAACACACCATGTAAACATTCACAGAGCAGGTGGAAAAAGTATGTGAACCCCTAGACTAATGACATCTCCAAGAGCTAATTGGAGTGAGATGTCAGCCAACTGGAGTCCAATCAATGAGATTGGAGATGTTGGTTACAGCTGCCCTGCGCTATAAAAAAAAAAACAGACACCAGTTCTGGGTTTGGTTTTCACAAGAAGCATTGCCTGATGTTAATGATGCCTTGCACAAAAGAGCTCTCAGAAGACCTACGATTAAGAATTGTTGACTTGCATAAAGCTGGAAAGGGTTATAAAAGTATCTCAAAAAGCCTTGCTGTTCATCAGTCCACGGTAAGACAAATTGTCTATAAATGGAGAAAGTTCAGCACTGCTGCTACTCTCCCTAGGAGTGGCCGTCCTGTAAAGATGACTGCAAGAGCACAGCGCAGACTGTTCAATGAGGTGAAGAAGAATCCTACAGTGTCAGCTAAGGACTTACAAAAGTCACTGGCAAATGCTAACATCCCTGTTAGCGAATCTACAATACGTAAAACACTAAACAAGAATGGATTTCATTGGAGGATACCACAGAGGAAGCCACTACTGTCCAAACAAAACATTGCTGCACGTTTACAGTTTGCACAAGAGCACCTGGATGTTCCACAGCAGTACTAGCAAAATATTCTGTGGACAGATGAAACCAAAGTTGAGTTGTTTGGAAGAAACGCACAACACTATGTGTGGCGAAAAAAGGAACAGCACACCAACATCAAAACCTCATCCCAACTGTGAAGTATGGTGGTGGGGGTATCATGGTTTGGGGCTGATTTGCTGCGTCAGGGCCTGGACAGATTGCTATCATCGAAGGAAAAATGAATTCCCAAGTTTATCAAGACATTTTGCAGGAGAACTTAAGGCCATGTGTCTACCAGCTGAAGCTCAACAGGAGATGGGTGTTGCAACAGGACAATGACCCAAAGCATAGAAGTAAATCAACAACAGAATGGCTTAAACAGAAGAAAACACGCCTTCTGAAGTGGCCCAGTCAGAGTCCTGACCTCAACCCTAATGAGATGCTGTGGCATGACCTCAAGAAAGTGATTCACACCAGACATCCCAAGAATGAAACAGTTCTGTAAAGAGCAATGGTCAAGAATTACTCCTGACCGTTGTGCACGTCCGATCTGCAACTACAGGAAACGTTTGGTTGAAGTTATTGCTGCCAAAGGAGGTTCAACCAGTTATTAAATCCAAGGGTTCACATACTTTCTCCACCTGCACTGTGAATGTTTACATTGTGTGTTCAATAAAAACATGGCAACATTTCATTCTTTGTGTGTTATTAGTTTAAGCAGACTGTGATTGTCTATTGTGACTTAGATGATGATCAGATCACATTTTATGACCAATTTGTGCAGAAATCCATATCATTCCAAAGGGTTCACATACTTTTTCTTGCAACTGTAGAGTGCCAGGAAAACAGCTTTGTTTTCCTGGCACTATAGGATCCCATTAACATCAATAATCGCCGGTGAAGACCAAGGATGAAGTCATACGAAGAAAATCTGGAGATCAAAGTAAATTATTCAGCTGAAGAAAACAGGACTATGCATATCAGAAATGGGACCACAAGCTGAAACAAAAGAAAAAATTATGTAGTAAAATAGGAACAGAGATGTAGAAATAAGACCACAAATCACGTTAATCATAAGCATCAATGATATGAAATATTTGAAAACACCTAAAGTAATCATAAGTATAGCAAAGCTATTTTGGAATTACTTAAGACTCATGTACAAGTCAAAATACATAAACCTATTGTAAAACAAAGTGTAATAACCAATGGGGAATAAAATAAAATCAGGCTGCGCTAATATTTGCCTCTGTGTCTTTAATAAAATCATAACTTTGCATGATGTTAGTAGTAAAGTCTAGTTATTATATTAGAAGATACAGAGTTTCATATAGGCTAGTTCGAAGCTGTGAAATAGTAATAGTAATAGTAATAGAATTTAATGAAAATAGTACTCCCTAGATTCATAAGATCAGTCAGCAGCTTTCAGAGGTACTTCGAGTCGGCAACCCATTGGGTGTGCTCCAAACACTGAAGTATCAACCCCAGGGGATGTCATGATCCATCGCAACCAACAGGCCAGGGTGACCAGGGTGACACTTGATGAGGACTGTAGCGGCAATGAGGACTCTGTAAAGCCCGAAACAACTCTAGGCGAGCAGAATTTCAAAATCCATCAGTCTGATCCCTACGCCATAAGACAGGGCATAACTTCAGTTTGACAGGAAAACAAGGATATAAGAGATTTAATTGCAGTCTTAGCTCATCTAATGATATTAAAATAAACTTTGCGCAGATATGAACATGCATCAATATTCAAAGCTCAGGCATCTAAAACACGCTTGCAGGATATCAGGCAGAAGAGCATGACTAGTCGAGAGTGCTCATATTATCATCATCATCATCATCTGGACAAGATTCCAAAAGATGGAGAAGTAGAAACACTTCCCTAAGTTGAGGTGGTCAAGCATACCTGATGCCTCTGAGAAGACAATAAAATTGCAGACTGATCACACATTAAGCCAGACCATGGTCAAAAAAGATTTGTAAGATCAATATATTTCAGAGGAGCAGAATCCATGTGTTCCATGCACAAACACAAATTTCAGGCATGGTGGTAGGATTGTCTTGTTCCCAGAGCCCACGTTTCTGCCAATAGTTGACTGTGGAACGTCCGAGACAAACCAGAGAAGAGCCAACCTAGAAGTCGGAGATGTCCCTAAACTAGAAGGGGATTTGAGTACCCGCCGGAGTCCAAGAAGTGGTCCAAAGAAAGAGAGTAATATTGGAATGTCAAAAGACAACTCCATGAGTGTCAGAAACCATGGTTGAGCAGTCCAGATTAGAAATATGATGATCAGAGTGGTTCGATAGAGTCTCAGATGGAGTAGAGTGCAAGCTATGAGGAAGAAAGGTGGAAAGACAATGGCGGGCAACTGGCCATGGTTGTATAAAAGTATCTGATGTCAGGAACTCTGGGTCCGGTATGCAGGTGTAGAAGGTCGAATATTGAGAGTTCAAGCGAGATGCAAAAAGGTCTTTGTCTAGAGGTCCCTAAAGTAACTGCAATCAAATGACGATGATGCAGTACAGGCACCAATCGATGGCATACTCCAGGTGCCTGGAGTTTCAATTCGCCACTGTATTGGTCAGACCAGGGATTTACTCTGCTTGAACTGATAGACTGAGATACACACAGATCTGCCAGAATTTCTTAGCAGTGTCCACCAGAACCAGTGATTTTGAACCTCCCAAGTGATATAGCTCCCAGGAAACGTTGCTGAGCAAATGAACCCAACTAGGCGTTTGAGACAATGGATATAGGGACTTCTCTGCTGAAGACCATTTACCACAAGCGTCTTATTGTTCTGGAAAGCTGAAGAGTGATTACGGGATAAAGAGAACCTGATGGATATCGTTCCTAATGCTCTTGATCCCTTGGATGGAACGGATATTGAAACCCAAAAATTAAATGTGGAAGAGAGATGATGGATGGATATGATAGATGATGAAGAAACTCTGCGTCCTGAACCATAACGAGCTTGTCGTCCAGGTAAGTTATCAAATGGAGAAGAAAAGCGACCACTGATTTTAGCAGCTTGGTGAAACACCAAGGGGTCAAAGAGAGATCAAAGGGGGAGGCATGTGAAGCATTGGTAGGCAATGAATAGTTCCATTCCAAAGGAATTAAAAGTAGTCTTGGCAATTGTCGGCAATAGGAACGATTAGATACGCATTTTTCAGGTCAAATTCCCATACGTAATGAATACCCTCCATTTTGAAATGGTATTTCCCAAATGCATTCAGAGAACGTTGATTTATCACTGGATATATTCCTCCTCTCTTAGTAGTTGCTCAAGAAACTCTGAGTAGAAGGTGACACCAGTATGATGGGGCCTTTTTCTTCTCAGGCTAGAATCTCTGCAGACACAAGAGACTTGTCTTTTGCCAAGAAGATGATCCTGTGCGGAAAGGTGGTCTAAACTGAGGAGCGCACAAAAATTGAACCGATAGTCTTGAACACTTTGCAGGATCCAGGCATATGAAGTCAATATCTCCCACTCACTTTTGAAAGAGAAGAAACGTAAGGTGAACGAAGATTTACCATAAGGGAGCAAACTCTGGCTCCACAAGATTGCCAAAGTCTGCCATGGTCTGCCATGGATGGGAAAGAAGAGAGGTGAAAATTTTACATCCTGTGATGCAGTCCTAGTCAAAGTGGAACTTAGATTCCCAAGGAACATTGGGGCGAATGGCCAGCCAGGGAAGCACCCATCACACCTTATGGCCATAAACTCCTCCACGACATGGATGAAGGCTCAGTACGCATCTCGTACGCTGCTCAAGCAGGAGGGGACATATGGCCAGCCCTTGGCTTGCACAGAAAGGCCTTCCAGGAGGAATCAGAACAAGACAAACCCCCTTCTCCTACCCCCCTCTCACACCACAGCGACGAACGACAATGTACACACCGAGGCACCACAGTCTGCAGTGATGCCATCACAATAGCTACAGATCTTAACACCAGGGTCACGAAGCCTGTAACTTACCGGTATTGATTAACCCCTGTACAAGAATTGCAGATGAAAGTCAAAGTGGTATACGGGATTCCCCATTGTGCCTTCTTTCTGTATTCCCTCCTCACCTATTATAATTCCATAAAAAGGGAAGATAACCTCACTAATGTAGTAATTTTACCAACATGTACATAGGTTAAATTATGTTGAAACCTCTAATGAAACACCCGTATACTTGTACAATTTGTATAAATGAAACTACATATTTGATGTATGCGCTATATACTTTTACCCCCAGATTTTTCTTTCTGTACCCCTCCCCCATAAAACAAGATCTTCGAAATAAAGAATTTATAAAAAAAAAAATTAAAAAGGAAGAACGTGCCCAGCATCTATCTGAAAACTGCATGACTAATTGAGAGGGAGAGATTATCTGATGTCCCTCCCATGGCACGTGTGACCGATTTGGTCATTCTGGTGTCAAGGAGTGAATGGAATTCTTCAGAATTAATTTGCTCCTGTATGGCCTTTTCAATTTCATACTCAGAGAGGAAAGGGACCCCAGACTAGGCAGATCAATAGAAGGTCCAGCAGTGGACATCTCTGGTCCATAAAAGGATTGCATAATATAGCATGCAAAAATTAAAAAAAAAATAAAACCGGTCACTATTATAATTATATAGCCTAAGTACAGCCCCAGTAGAAAGAGCAATATCAGGTAATCAGCAGAAAGCAGAAGTAAACAATTTTAAAGGACAACTCAACACTCAAAGCTTTACGGGTGAGGAGTGTCGCACAATAAAACCAGTTTGTAAAAGTACAGTTTACTATTAGAAATCAGTACTATTTTAAATAATTAACGAAACACCGTCAAACAGCCAGGGAGGTTTCTTCTTGCTTCTGCTAGCTCCCCTGAGCTAAAGAAAGGCTCAGGCACGCTCTACTCCCCTCATACGAGTCCTTTTGCAAACGGTTTTAAGATATATCCCGAATGAATAAGTCTATGCGTAGGGAGTATATCTGCTAAACACTGAATTCTATTTTTTTGCTCATATGTGTAGTGGAATGTTCCTTTAACTAGTCCACAAGTGAATAGACTTAAGAAAAAAAAAAAAAAAAAAAACGTAGTACTCAAGGCACTCACTAGTAACAAGTACAGTTAACCAAATCGCATAGATGGTATGAAGCATGGGCTAGCTTACCAAGTGATCCCTCTGGAATGTCTTGAGGGAAACACAGGCAAGCTGACCAGCAACAAGAGCAGCCAATCAGGATGCCCACGTGTCACAAGCAAAGGTAAAAGAAAATGGACCACTCAAAAAATGGCTGCCGCAGAACGCACATACGCTAATCAATGTGATTGTTCCTGCAGGTCCTGCAAGATGACTCACAATAAGACCATGCTGGGAAAGCACAATAAAATCAACACAAAATTGGGTTACAACCAACCCATTAATTTTACAAAGGCAAGGAGGAATAAGAATGACAATGGGCAGAACACAAAGTAATTTTAATGTAACAATATAAAGGTAAAAAGGAAAAGCAGACTATGCAAAAATAGCAATATAAAGCAGTTGTTGGGAAGAACATGTAAAATACAGCACAAACTGGACAGAAAGAGGAGTTAGCTATGGGTCACATGGGTGGATACATACTGTGATATGATCATTAACCCTTTTGCTAGGGTTATTGTTTTTAATTATTAAATACAATTCTTTCCTTGCTGATGAGGAAATAGAAAGAAAGAAGTATAGGTGTCCCTGTATCTAATACGCTTATACTGCCATCAAGAACATCTGAGATTTGTCAAGTTTTTAAAATAAATCAGGAAGATTAGAGATTAACCCTACTTTGTCTCGTTCTTAAATAGAAATAGATTTTTTTTTTTTTTTTTAAAGAAGATTCAATTAAGAAAGAGGAAGATCAGACGAAACACAGACAAAGTTCAGTACAGTATGGAGTGACAATGCCACTTTAAGCTCCACCCTTTGTCACGTATTATGAAGCATAGGAAAAATACATGAGACAAAGTAGGGACCTACTTTGTCTTATGTATTTATTGAGAAGATAAGAAAGGAAAAATTAAGATAGAGGAAGATAAGAGGAATAGATGTGAGAAAGGTAAATTTGAGATCACAATCTAACTGATACCCAACCTAGATATTTAATTTTCCCAATGACAAAAAACAACAAAAAAACAACCACATACAAACTTCAGCAGTTATTTTTAATCACAATCATCTGAAAGGTAAACCTACATTTGAACATCTACAAATGTAATAAGCATATTTTTAAGCACAGGTGATAAAGATCTATCTTATCTAGTATCCTTAGAACCCCTACCCAGCTTGCAAGGTAATTCCAAACCATTCTGACCCTGGTAACAAGGTCTGGCTACTTTCTCTCAGAGAGGGTGATTGCCATTAGTCATTTTCTTTATTGCAAGTGGGAAGATGTAGTAATTGAACTGAAAGGCTGATAAAATAAATCAAGCATCACCCTGCCAAATACACCAATTACTTTTCCTATCCTGATGGACTGACCAGAGCTGGCTTGCAATGTTTATTGCACAGGGTGAATAAAGCATCACTTTCTGATTTGTAATTGTTTTCTTAGTCTGCACTAGAGACCAGCTAAAAGGAAACAAATTTGTTCACTGAGCAGAAATGTTCCATTGCCCTAATATAAATTGACTCTCTTTCCATCAATGACTCATTAATGCAGGAATCTCACTGCACATAATGTGAGTCCTATCCATTAGCCAATTTTTCTTTATTTAGTCTTAGTTTGAAAGTGTATGGGTTTTGGTGCTAGATGTGTGTCCTGAAACCAATTTTCTGCATATCCAGTTATTCTGACATGTTCCAGCAAGGAGTTTTTGAGTGAAATTAAGACAAGTGAACGGTGCTAAAAGCACCCTAGGCCCAATGTAGTAAAAGCTTGTGAATCAGTATAATCTACCCGATATCGCAACAAAGTCTGATGTAAATTCCAATTTATTTTACTTCCAACTATTAAAACCAATTGTAAAAGTATTGCGTGAACCTATATGGGGCAGTGCGATCTGCCCTTAAAGGGTCACTCCAAGTACCATGCCCACTTCAACACTTTGAATGGACGGTGCAAATGTTGCACATACAAAGATACAAAACGTTGTAATTTGCAGCCCTGAACAAGTCGGTGGTCAACATTGATAAAAATGTGTTTTTATTGTATAATTATACTTTGTACGTATAATCTGTTTTTCATATAATTCTTTTCTATATACTCACTTTTGTCTTTTTACCGTTTATATATCATGCCATTAGGTCATTTAAATTATGTAAAACTTATAATTAAATACATAGAAAACCATATTGACCGATTAGCAGTATTTGTATATAAAGTACTACTGCAGCACTGGTTCTCCATCTGTCTCTGAAGAAGTAGGGGCACACCTACGAAACGCGCAAGACTTTTGGACACACATCAGGATCCAGACTTACCACACGCACGTTATTCAGTCAGCATCCTTCCAGGACCTATTGGTTTGTCTATTGAAACGAAACCGCTCACAGCACACGTCCCTCCGGAGTGAGGCTCCCGCAGGGACGCATGGTGAACTAACGCGCTGTCCTCTCCGGCGAAATTATCGCAAACGGCAAGGATTTCAATCCATATCCATCCTCATCTAAACCGAAGGTTTCTGCATAGGTCTGACATCATACCATCTGGTAACAACTATATGAACTTTTCCTGATGTGTATTTTTTAATTGTACTTATTTTTCATATATTTTAACCATTATTTGTCCAAGTAAACTGGCTTTTATTTCTATCCAGTTTGAGAACCATTGCTTTACATCTGTTGCTGATTACATTGTGTAACAATATTTTAGCCTGCAGTTCCTCATACTGTATTGCTACAATATGATACATTTTTTATATGTATATCCAAACTAGATACTAAGTATCACTTGGTACAGATGCCAGTTATTCTGCTTCATAGCAGTAATTAAGACACTTGCACTGCACATTTCTGTTCCAGATATATCTTATCTTTTATTTTAACCATTTATTTTTTTTATTTTTTTTGTTCTTATTTTTAATTTTTTACTCTTTCATATTTTTATTCATCCACTTATTTATTAATGTATCTATTTATACTGTTTTTACTCGGATATCTAGATTTCCCTTAAAGGTACAGCACCACTATTAGTATATCTTCTTTTATAGGCATTCACGCATTTGTAGCCATATTCTAGGCTAGCTCCTGGTATTTTTTTTAGACACCTCTGGTGTCTCTTTCTAGTTATTCTTTTATGTTTTAGTGGATCGCTATTTTTTCCAGTTTCTGAGCAGCCTTACGCTAGTCCTACTCCCTCATCTCTGGACAACACACTAGGTTAACCAGTATCAATTACCTTAATCAATAACGTGAGCCTGGGACCCCCACAGTACAAGTGAAAAACAGTTTTCGCCTAAAAGGTTGCTTTCATGGCAACTGGGACTTATTGCACTTGCTGTGTTTTGTGCATATAGTCTGACTGGCTGTATAAAGTACCATGTACCTGCTCAGGGGTTGGTATAGAATGAAGTTCATCAGTTGACTGCAGTTCCAAAAAAAAAAAAGGACAGCGCTGCTGAGATTGGATTGCAGATGCCATTAGTTTACATATAGCTCTATTGACATAAAACGTCATTGTAAGAAGCAATCAAACACACAGAGAAAGCTGTCAAGACGTCTATTAGGAGAAGGTTGGCTATACGGCTATACCATGTAACAGTTCAGCAAACGTATACCATGCAATTACCCAAACAGGCAGGGAAACTCTCAAACTACTCCTTTTGACATCTCCGAATAGAGTTTAAAGGAACACTATGGTCACCAGAACAACTTTAGCTTAATGAAGCAGTTTTAATGTATAGATCATGCCTCTCATGTTTCACTGCTCAATTCACTGACATTTAGGAGTTAAATCACTTTGTTTCTGTTTATGCAGCCCTTGTCACACCTCCCCTGGCTCTGTCACAGCCTGCATGAAAAAATAAATAAATAACTGGTTTCACTTTTGAACAGATGTAATTTACCTTTAACAATGTTATCTCTTTCTCTGTAAATTGAACTTTAATCACATACAGGAGGCTCTTGCGGGGTCTAGCAAGCTATTAATATAGCAGGGGATAGGAAAATCTAAATTAAACAGAACTTGCAATAAAGGAAGGATAAACTTTAGATGACTCTTTACAGGAAGTGTTTAGGGGGGCTGTGCAAGTCACATGCAGAGAGGTGTGACTAGGGTTCATAAACAAAGTGATTTAACTCCTAAATGGCAGAAAATTGAACAGTGAGACTGCATGGACATGATCTTTACACCAAAACTGCTTCATTAAGCTAAAGTTGTTTTGGTGACTATAGTGTCCCTTTAATCTAAAGATTTTCACAAGTTACTGTGCTAATAGGCAAATGTGTTCAGGGACACAGAAAACTCCTTGTAATGCAATCTGTAAAAGGGTTACACTATCAGAATGGGCAGAAAATATCTTTAAAAGACTAGTGGGTTTTTTCCTACTGTGTTCACACTGCTCACAAAAATGGAAAGAAAAAAAAATGTAGACTGAAAAGATGCTTTTTACCAATCCCTTTCATTTCTGCCTTGCAAGGTTACCTAATGTAAAAATATAAAGATCTTTCCTGAATGAAAAACAAATAAAACATCTTCTATCTTTGATGAGAAATACCAATATTATGTTGGCTCGTATGTAAAATTGAACCTTAAATTGAGAGTAAGACCTATTCATCAAGTCAACAAAAGCAGCCTTGAAAAGAAATCTGAATTATGCACACATGGAAGGATACTCTTGCTGCTCCAACACAAAGATGATACAGGATGTGATGCACTGTGTGGATTGAACTGTTCTACAACAGTCAGGGATGAGGAGTCCCATATTTTAACATCATCTCCAGCTGAAGCAAATCTGATACTGTCCATGGCTACACCTAGAAACAAAGTGAAGGAGGAAAAAAAAAAAAAAACAAAAAAAAAAAGACAATGATCCACATTAACATGACTTTTGAAAAATCTATTGGGGTTAGACATTCAGCAAATAAAGAACATCCCTTTCAGATATATCTGTGTAAAACACTTTAAATGTCCATATGAAATAAAATATATCTGTAAGCAAAGAAATATCCGTATTGTTGTGAATACCCCTTATGCCTCTCCATTTTTAATCCTATGGAATGCAATTACAATTATTTGTACAAGGAGGAGCATATGGGAATGTTATTTATAAAGAGCAGTTGTGGAGTGTAAATTCAGATACACACAGACAGGGTTTTTATTAAACGTTAAAGGGAAACGCCAATGTTAATAATACAAACCATACGTCTAATGTTAGTCTTTTATCCAATGTAAATAAAAGCCAATTGAGATGCATTGGCAATTTGCACCTATCAGCATCTTCTAAGAGATCATGATGCGTTATTCTAATAAATCTACGGGGAATGGCAGTGTTTACAAATGCAAATAGCCTGTTCCTGCAGCCTTACATCAAAACCACTACATTAAAAGACAACAGTCAACAAATATTCACTTATTGCTTTTAAAGGTTTATTACATTTAAATGGTCGCTATAGGCTCAAGAAACACTACACCTTAGTCACCTGAACAACTTTAGCTTAATGAAGCAGTTTTGATGTATAGAACATGCCCCTGCAGCCTCACTGCTCAATCTTCTGCCATTTAGGAGTTAAATCCCTTTGTTTATGAACCCTAGTCACACCTCCCTGCGTGTGACTTGCACAGCCTTCCATAAACACTTCCTGTAAAGAGAGCCCTATTTAAGCTTTCTTTATTGCAAGTTCTGTTTAATTAAGATTTTCTTATCCCCTGCTATGTTAATAGCTTGCTAGACCCTGCAAGAGCCTCCTGTATGTGATTAAAGTTCAATTTAGAGATTGAGATACAATTACATCTGTTTGAAAGTGAAACCAGTTTTTTTTTCATGCAGGCTCTGTCAATCATAGCCAGAGGAGGTGTGGCTAGGGCTGCATAAACAGAAACAAAGTGATTTAACTCCTAAATGACATGTGAATTGAGCAGTGAAATTGCAGGGGAATGATCTATACACTAAAACTGCTTTATTTAGCTAAAGTAATTTAGGTGACTATAGTGTGCCTTTAATGTCCCACAGAGAGTATTTTCACATATTCATTCCCCATGTGCAATAAAAAATAAAAAAAAAGGAAAAGAAAAAATAAATTTTACTTATCTTATTTTTCCCCAGTGCACAGGCAGTTTCTAACAACTGCACTGTTTTACATTGCAGGGATAAAAGGACAGTGACACTGGAACCATACCACTTTTCATAGTGGTCTGGGTGACTATCGTCCTTTTAAATGTACTTTATCTGATTTGAGCCAATCTACTTTAGGATCCACCCAATGTGAGTGTGTCAAGTTTGAATCCTGCACCATCTTTTAGAGATTAGTGTTGCACTATATATTTGATCGTTTTTGAGTTTACAAAAAAAACAAAAGTGTACTGAAACTCAATAGAACGGAAAAAAAAAAAACATATACACACACACACATCATTATATATATATATATATATATATATATTTTATTTTTTTTTTTTATTTTTTTGACCGCTCCATTTATATGCTGTGTAGGCCACTTTTATTTCTTGTTTTTAACTTCCATCAAAATCTCTACAGTAAGATGTGGTGTTGGTGTCCCTTTAATTTATTATTTCAATCCAATGAAAAGGCCATGGCAACTCTCCTGCACATGATTCTTCCAAGAGTCAAGAAGGGTCACGAACATGCGACATCACTCACTGGCACATACGCCAATCCTGGGAATACTTTGTTCGTTTATGCTTCGGAAAACTGCTAAAAACCATTGATTAAAATCAGGAATGCCATGCAGTTCACGTGAATCAATTGTGACAGTAGACATCTAGACATCTTCTCTCATGATGTGAATAAAATGTCCACAGCATATCACGAATGAGAATCTGTGGAGAATCCCAAAGACTTATGGGATCTTCTGTAGACCCTTATTTTCTAATCTGAATCATATACCATACTTGTAACATTTACAAACGAAAGACCGAGAACCTAAATGTGACTGGTCCGTTTTAGCGATCATATTCCAAACTGGAATTCATTGCTTATTTAATGATAGCAGGGTTATGTAGAGCTAATGATGGAATTAAGCAGGACATGACTAAAGAATCTAATTGGTCTTTAAATGAACACTCCAAGAGCCATTACTGCTATGACCTACTATAGTGGTTATGGTGTTAAAAGTGCTCAGGCAGCCCCTTGATGTAAGCCGTTCGACTTCTTAAATTAGATATGCCAAGTGCGGTCTCTATTTCAGCTTTTCGACAGTCTGATCTAAGCCCAGAAATACAGCACTTGGCTCATTGGATTAGTGCAATCCATTTGCCGATGCAGAGCTTAGCACAGGAGTTCTAAAGCAAACTACTAATCAGTAGCTTTCAACTCTATCAGCATAGTGTGGTTAGAAAACGGTCTAACTACTTACAAGAAAGAAAACCTCTGACAACATAACCACTACAGCTCACCAAAGTGTTATTTTAATCACAGAGAAGGGGTGTCCTATCACCTGACGCCAAGGACATAATTTTGGCGGCAAGCTGTTTTTTTGTTTTTTTTAAAGCCCTATTGCAGCCTAAAAAGCTATACTTTTTCTCCTAGTGCTCTATACAAGTTTGGTGGAGATCTACCTGTAACTTCTGAAGGAAACATTAAAATATTTGTTGTTTTGATTTTTTTAACCCATTAAATTACTTTACCTTTTTTAATGCATAATATAGGTTGTAATGTAATAATGGCAATAATAATGTGGGTTATTTTTAACTACACAGTTTTCATTAAAGGGTCTACATTTCCACTAGAACCCAAAATGTCATATTAGCACTGGCTCAATTTTTTACGTAAACATGTAGAGACAACCTGCCAATCAAAAGGTGGTGCTTCTATAAAGTTCAGTGCCTGTGAAATGCATGCATTATATACATAACACAGATTAACTTTGCAAAGATTCAACTTTCACACTTCAGTGTATAAGGTCTGTAGATTAAGGGACAGACCATTTCAATGCTTGAAACTAGTAACTGACTTGGTCAGTCATGCTGTGTCGTCTGACTAGGTTTCCAAACAATACATAGCACAGTAAATAAATACACAGTGGTTGTTTAAAGGTAGCACTGCATGTTGCAGCACGGTCAGCTGGTATATGATCATATCCCCTGCCATAATGCCTCTCTCCCCATATACAGTGTAATGAATCTCTCTCTCCCCATATACAGTGTAATGGCTCTCCCCCATATGTAATGGCTCCCCCCCATACAGTGTAATGGCTCTCTCCCCCCATACAGTGTAATGGCTCTCCCCCATACAGTGTAATGGCTCTCCCATACAGTGTAATGGCTCTCTCTCCCCATACAGTGTAATAATGGCTCTCTCTCCCCCCATACAGTAATCACAGTGTAATGGCTATATTCTCCCCCATACAGTGTAGCTATATATCTCTCCCCCCATACAGTGTAATGGCTATATCTCTCCCCCATAGAGTAATAATGCTATCTCTCCCCCCATACAGTGTAATGGCTATCTCTCCATACAGTGTAATGGCTATCTCCCATACAGTGTAATGGCTATCTCCCCCCAGTGTAATGGCTATACAGTGTAATGGCTATCTCTCTCCCCCATACTATAAGGTGCCCTGGTTAGGTGGATGCGGTATACAGTGACTCCTGGAATGTTTATAGAACTATTTGAACCTCCCGCCATATTGCGCACACACACAGTTGTCCCCCAGCTCTGGGGTGCTCTCCGCCACATAGAGCAGTGCTGAGTACACTCTCACCTTGCAGCCGCACTCTCCGCCCTTCCCCCATGTACTTCTTCCAGCCCGGGGAACACGGGTGACGTCATACAACTCCCTCTAACAGTTGCCGAAACAACACGCAAAGGCGCGTGCGCGTTCCCGGTGAGAGCGGCGGGCGCGGGCGGCGGACTCAGTACGGGTCAGCGGGCGGACCAAACCTGTGGAAATAGCGCACGGCTGACAAATACTGCGGCTTTTTAAATGACTGGTCCATTTACTATAATAGGATGCTGAACACAGAAATGATAGAAGAGCAAACAGAAACAGCGCTTAATTTAATGCATGTAATAAATACATTAAATAAATAAAAAATACATAGAACTGAATGATAGCCATTGGGGTAGTGGATGACCAATTCCCCTCACAATTGATCCCAGGGGGATGAAAATGATTAAATGCCTATCAGTCATGATGGTGTAGCTTTTAAAATCCTACATTTCACTCCTTAAGAAAGATTAGAATGAGACACATGTGGGACTAGCTCTGTTCATGGCCAAAGAAAATGCTCGACCTAGACATAGACCATGGAGATAAAGCCATGTCTCAACACAAGAACCACCGCCAAACAGACAAAACCGAAAAATCCAACTTCTTTGGAGTCCGAAACAGGCTCATCCAAACAGGCCCTTCAGCGGGAGGAAAGCCAAGATGGCGCCAACGCTGACCTACCCAAAACTCCAGACTCCGTAGAAGCAGACATGCCGATCACTCTATCGGCGAAGATCCAGTCAACCTTGCGTTGGTAAGATCCGAAATCCACGAGCTGGGCGCCAGAACAGCCTTAATGGAGGAGAAGATGGCCGATCATGCCAAGGCCCACAACGACCTAGCCTCCCAGGTGGAAAGCTTCAAGGCGCAACTCGAAGCCTATGATTCGACGCTCGCTGACATGGAGGATAGAGGGCGAAGAAACAATCTCAGCTTGTGGGGCATCGCAGAAGAAATTGGGCCAGATGACCTTCAGGCGTATGTCACAGGCCTACTCAGGGCCCTCCAACCGGATCTACACGTAGACATTTTCCTCATAGACAGAGTGCATCGGGTCCAAAAGCCAAAGGCCCAGTCTGTGCACAACCCTCGGTTTAATAGTCGTAATGGGAAGAATTATTTTTTTTCTTAACAGAAACTGAGTTCATTTCTCCCCCTCAATATTATTAGGGGGTAGGCAGATATGTTTTATTGGAGAGTGGCTAGGGACCCCTAGCCATGGGGGGGGCTTGGTTTATAGTTCCCAAACATTTAGGTGCTGTGGGCAATAGTATGTCTATCCCCCTTGTATATTATATGTACATTATATTATTTAACCTTGCTTTGCCTCTATGGGAAAGAGAGAGAACAGGAGACTGCATCCTTCACAAATCAGGGGTAATTCTCTCTCTTGCTTTTTCTATTAGCTTGAATGTCTAATTGTCACTTCTTTGGGTCTCTTCTCTTATTTCTTTAAACACTATTTTGTGTGCTTTTCTCAGTGTCTCTTTATAGCTTTCTCTTATTTCATGAATGCTTGTCTGGCACTCTCTCTCTCAAGCGAATTTTCCTATCTTTGTCAAACTAACTACCAACCTCTATCAAAATTAACTTCTATCTCTTGCCAACTGTCTGTCTTCCTGTTTCTCTCTCGTCTTGACAGTTTTATTTCTGTCATCTACCTCTCACAAACGTATTCGATCTGTCTGCTTGTCTTTCTGAATCCATGAGTCTATAAAAAAAACAAAGGATGAATAAATAAAACAGAAAACAAAAAATAAAAACAACACAAAAAATGAAAACAATACTAGTAACAAAAATAAACCAGAGTCTTGCAACTGTGCATAAACCTTTTATTTGAACAAAAATAAACTACATTATCAGAAAGAAAAAATGTCTATAAAAATGCAAAAGTAAAAGAAAGAATGTTTCTCTGAAATAACAATAAAAAGAGAAAAATGAAAATATTAGAAAACAAAAAGTTACATTTGTCAAAAGAAAAAAAAGAAAATTACGACAGGACATAAAAACAAAATAATTAACAAAAAGACAGTATAAGTCAGCATAAAACAAATTCACTTACAATAAATATGAAAAAAGTATAAGATAAAAATATTACATTACAATAAAAAAAAATATAGAAAATCTAAATAAAAATAGTGGATGGGGCCTGGCTAGCATGGTGGATGGCTGTGTTCTTAGTGAGCTCCTCACATACAGCTTGAAATTTCAACATTCGGCTTGGATTGTAACCTCAAAGGGGACTCCAGCAAACACTTACCTCTTCTTGTTCACTCAGTTCTTTTCTGAGAGTTTAAAGCACTTCTGAACCACATGCAGCCCGGAATAGATTTTGAGGCCTATGCACCTGGGCAATCTGTGAAAGAAAGAAACGCCCGATCTCCCAGCCTGGAGCTACCAGCATGTACGAAGCATACAGCTGAAACCCTGAGCGCCCCATTCCCCCACCCCCCGGACCGGTGAGGGTTATCCAGGTCCCCACCAGAGAAAAGTTGCTGGGTTCTAAGGAGCAAAGACACTCTCACCTACTCTGACATGAAGAGGCCTGGTGACATACCTAAGATGGCTACCACACCACCTGAGCATCCACTGTCTCAATGGGAATTAAGATTCAACGCAGCTTTTGACGCTATATGCACAGCTTTCTGGACCCGGATCGAGTCCCGCCAGACGAGGCCATTCCTTACCCAGCCTGTGACAGAGGGTCTCCCCAGCGACGTCCCAGCACACTGCTCTCCTTCTGTGCCGGGAGCCAAGATGGTCGTCATGCCATCAGCCATCCACTACAGAGTGTGAAGGGGTGACATAGTGTGAGGGGGTGACAGGGTGAGGTGACAGAGTAAGGAGGTGTGGCAGGGTTAGAGGGGTGCCAGAGTAAGAGGGGGTGAAGAGGTGCGAGGAGGGTGACAGGATAAGGGGGGGTGACAAAGTAAGAGGGGGTGATGGGGTGACAGGGTGTGGGGTGACAGGGTGATGACAGAGTAAAAGGGGGGTGACAGGGTGAGAGGGGATGACAGGGTGAGTGACAGAGTAAGGGGTGGCAGGGGGATGACAGTGAGAGGGGGGTGACAAGAGGTGGTGATGGGGGTGACAGGGTGATGAAAAGAGTAAAAGGGGGTAACAGGGTGAGAGGGGATGACAGGGTGAGTGACAGAGGGGGGTAGCAGGGGATGACAATGTGAGAGGGGGATGACAGTGTGAGAGGGGGGTGAATGAATAAGAGGACGTGACCTAGTGTGGGTGGGGGGTGACATGGTGTGAGGGAGGTGACATGGTGTGTAGGGGGTGACAGGGTGAGGTGACAGAGTAAGGGGACAGAGTAAGAGTGGGGTGACAAAGTAAGAGGGGGTGATGACAGAGTAAGACAGGGTGTGACAGGGTGACAGAATAAGAGGGGGTGACGTAGTGTAGGGGTGACAGAGTAAGAGGGGGTGACATAGTATGATGGGGTGACAGAGTGAGAGGGAGGGTGACATAGTCTGAGGGGGGGTAACATAGTGTTAGGGGGTGACAGAATAAGAGGGGTGTGACAGGGGGAGGTGGGGGTGACAATGTGTGGGGAGTGACAGGGTGAGAGAGTGTGTGTGAGGAACTGACTCTGCTGGGTTTCGAACCCTGGTTTACATGGTGCTAAACCTTTTCCTTACCAGTACACCAGCCTGCCTTTTGCAAATTTACCTGAGATCTTATACCATTGCTTGTAGAGTCAAGGTTATCAGTGACAACTCTCTTCAGCTGTGTCTGGTCAGGTGTCTGGTTCTTGGCCTATAAAAGCCACTTCCTGTCTCTGTACATTTGCCAGATTATTGTGGTTCCTGTACTCTCTAATCAAGCGTGTTCCTGTTTCTGCTTCCTGTTGCTGAATTTGGACTGTTTTGACTTTGCTGCTTCTCCTTCCCACTGACCTCGGCTTGCCTCACTACGATTATCATCTTTTTGTTCCAGTCTCCCATCTCTGCTTAAGACCAGAAGGCCACTCAAGGCTCAGGGGCTCAACCACCTGGGTAACGAGTGGCTACCTCTGGCAGAAAACATTGCTGATCTGGCTACTGTTCTCCAAAACTTTGTAACATCAATATCATTACAGAATAATCTGGCCCATTCATGGAGACCGTCGGATCAGATTCTGCATTGGCCCAGCAGGTTGCTTTTAATGCAAGAACTATGCAGACCCAGGCACAGACCATTCAAGTGCTGCAGGATCAGGTAGCTGAACTGCAAAATGAAGTTCGATCAATGCATAGTGAGCTTACCAGCTACAGGGCACATGATGTTGCGGCTGCTGCTGCTACTACTACTGTTACACCTGCACAAGATGCCCGCTTGCCTCTACCAGAAAAATTTGGAGGAGACCGCAAAAAATTCAGGGGTTTCCTAAATCAATGCCGTTTGCATTTCATGATGTTACCTAACCGTTTTCCATCTGAAAGAGAGAAGGTGGGATTTATTTTTTCCCTCTTCAAAGATGAAGCCCTGGCCTGGGGCTCCCCTTTTCTGGAACAGGACAGTCCAATCTTGGGAAATTTAAAAGACTTTCTTGAGGCCATGTGCCTAGTTTTTGATGATCCCAATCGCTGTGCTACAGCAGAAGCCACTCTCCTTCATTTACATCAAGGGAGGCGCTCTGTGGCTGAATATGCTGCTGAATTCAGACAGTGGGTTACTGATACTACTTGGAACCAATCAGCCCAGAGGTTCCACTTCAGAAGGGGTCTCTCAGAAGCTATAAAAGATGAGCTAGCTCGTGTTGATCTTCCTGTTGAGTTTGATGCATTTGTGCGGTTGGCTATCCGTATTGATCGGAGACTTTCAGAAAGAAGATTGGAAAGACAGGGCTCTTTTAAACCAAGTGCTACTCCTACTTTCTATTCAAGAATTTCTACTCCGACCCCACAAACACCTACAGACTCTGAACCTGAGGCTATGCAGGTAGATCTAATAAGAGGGCCATTATCCAATGAAGAAAAACAGTGGCGACGCACTCACAACTTATGCCTGTATTGTGGTAGTGCAGGGCATTATGCCATCAATTGCCCTAACAAGTCTAAAAGAACAATAGCTATGACTGCTGAGGGTGCACAGATTCAACACCAATCCAAGATTTCAGACCAACTGGATTCTGTCACACAACCCTTGTTTTCTCTGGCTCAGGGTGAAGAAGGTATGATGACTCAACATCCTCATTTGGTGGTGCCTATCACTTTGCAATATGGTGATAATAAAATTTCAACTACAGCTATGATAGATTCCGGAGCAGGCGGAAACTTTATGGACATTAAATTTGCAGCAGGAAATAAAATTCAGTCTATCCCTAAATCTTCACCTGTGTTAATGGAAACAGTAGACGGTTCTCCACTTACGTCAGGCCCGGTTACACACGAGACTGTGCCCTTAAAATTGATTCTGGAAGTGAATCACCATGAGTCTATATCTTTCCACCTAATTTCTTCAACACAGTTTCCAGTGATTTTGGGTATACCCTGGCTTGCTCTGCATAACCCACAGATTGATTGGAAGACTAGAACTTTGTCCTTTCCTTCAGAACACTGCTTAATGAATTGTCAACCCTCTAAGGCGACACCTGTTACCACAACAATTAATGAAATGGTTGCTACAAATTTAACTAAGCTTCCGCTACAATATCAGGATTTTGCTGATGTCTGTGATAAGAAGAATTCTGATCAGCTTCCACCTCACAGGCCTTATGATTGCCCCATAGAGCTGCTACCTGGAGCTGCTATCCCATTTGGCCGTATATACTCCCTTTCTGAGCCTGAATTGAAAGCACTTCGTGAATACATACAAGAAAATCTTGCCAAAGGCTTTATTCGACCATCCACTTCTCCAGCAGGAGCTCCTATATTCTTTGTAGAAAAGAAAGATGGCAGTCTACGACCATGTGTTGATTACAGGGACATTAATAAAATCACTGTTAAAAACCGTTATCCCTTGCCTCTCATTCCTGAACTTCTGGAGAGACTTCGTTCAGCTAAAATATTTACGAAGCTTGATCTACGGGGGGCATATAATCTGGTTCGCATAAGACCAAATGATGAATGGAAAACAGCTTTCAGAACCAGGTACGGACATTACGAATATCTAGTAATGCCATTTGGGCTTTGTAATGCCCCTGCAACTTTTCAGCATCTAATCAATGATGTACTACGGGATCTCCTGGATCAGTTTGTTGTGGCATATTTGGATGATATCCTGATATTTTCTGATAATCTTGAAAATCACAGAAAACAGGTCTGCATTGTTCTTGAGCGCCTTCGTACCCACCACCTATACATTAAACTGGAAAAATGTGAGTTTGAACAAACAGAAATTCAGTTCCTGGGGTATGTAATAACTCCTAAAGGTTTAAGTATGGACGCAAGTAAAATTAAAGCTGTGCTGGACTGGCCCATCCCCAAGAATGAAAAAGATATACAGAGATTTGTGGGGTTTGCCAATTTTTACAGGCGTTTCATTAAGAATTTCTCTGCCGTTATTACACCGATCACTGAACTTACACGTAAAGGGACTCCTTTTCAGTGGTCCAATAAGGCTGACACTGCATTTTCCAGATTAAAGACTCTGTTTACATCTGCCCCTATCTTGGTACATCCTCAGCCAGAATTGCCATTTACTGTAGAGGTAGATGCTTCTGATTCAGCTGTTGGGGCTATACTGTCTCAAAGGACTGGACCTAAGATGTTGTTACATCCATGTGCCTTCTATTCCCGCCAGATGTTACCAGCAGAAAGAAATTATGACATAGGGAATAAAGAACTTTTGGCTATAAAAGCTGCCTTCACCGAATGGAGACATCTCTTGGAGGGAGCCACCCATCCAATTACTGTCCTCACAGATCACAAAAATCTGGAATGTATCCAATCCGCTAAGAGACTGTCAGCCAGACAAGCACGCTGGTCCCTATTTTTCTCAAGGTTTAATTTTTTTATTTCATACCGCCCTGGTTCCAGAAATGGCAAGGCGGATGCCTTGTCTAGGATAGCTGACCCCCTCCATACTACAGTAACCAAGGCCACCATCTTGCCGGAGAGCAGATTTTTAGGAGTTACCTTTCCTTCTGATCTAATGTCTCGCATTAAAAAGGGCTACTCTAAAGATCCAGTTTTTCGTGATCCTCCTCGTGATCTTCATATGACCATGCTTAATGGGTTTTGGATTTTTCAACAACGTCTGTTTGTTCCAGAATCAGTGCGACTGGACGTTTTACGCCTCTACCATGACTCTAAACCAGCAGGTCATCCAGGAATCCGAAAGACACAAGAACTACTTACCCGATCCTTTTGATGGCCTAAATATTATGAGGATGTTAAGAAGTATGTGTCCTCTTGTGATGTATGTGCCAGACATAAGACTCCTCCTTCATCCCCTGCTTGCTTCAGCCTCTTCCGATTCCTCATCGTCCCTGGGGATCTATATCCATGGACTTTATTGTGGAACTACTTCCCTCTAAGGAACACACTACTATTCTTGTTGTTGTGGACCGGTTAACCAAGATGAGTCATTTCATACCAGCTCGTGGTCTCCCTTCAGCTAAACAGACTGCTGACCTTGTTATTCGGGAAATATTTCGCTTGCATGGAGTGCCTGATGAAGTAATTTCTGACAGGGGAGTGCAGTTTACATCTCATTTTTGGAAATATTTTTGTTCTATTCTAGGTATTAATGTAAATCTGTCTTCAGCTTTTCATCCACAAAGTAATGGACAGACTGAGCGAACCAACCAGACTTTAGAACAATATTTGCGGTGCTATATTAGTTACCTGCAGGATGACTGGCTGGATTTTCTACCCACGGCGGAGTTTGCCTATAACAATGCCCAACACTGCTCCACTTCTCTGAGCCCATTTTTTGCCAATTATGGTTACCATCCAACCTTTCTAGTGAGTCTCCCAATTACTACTCCCATTCCTGCAGTCACTGACCGGCTAACCGCCTTACGAGATTCCCAAGAACTGTTGAAGGAGACTCTTTCGGAGGCTCAGGAATGTTACAAAAGAGCTGCTGATAGGCACAGAAAGGAGGCCCCAGTTTATCATGTTGGTGACAAGGTTTGGCTGTCAACAAAGAATCTTAAGCTTAGGATTCCTTCTCATAAATTGGGTCAAAAGTTCATGGGACCTTTTAAGATAATCGCTCAGATCAATGCAGTCACCTTCCGTCTGCAACTTCCGGATTCCATGAAAATACATCCGGTGTTTCACGTGGCACTGCTTAAACCTTTTCATGAAAATACTTTCCCTGGTCGAGCCTTGCCTGCCCCACCACCAGTCCTCGTGGATGGTGAAGATGAATACGAGGTGGAAAAGATTCTTGACTCCAGGATCTTCCGCAACAAGCTTCAATACTTGGTTCATTGGAAAGGCTATGGTGAGGAGGATAGATCGTGGGAACCAGTGGACAATATTCATGCTCCTGATCTTCTTCAGTCTTTCCATGCACAATACCCTGCCAAACCAGGAAATAGGGCATCCAGAGGCTGCGCCTGTAGAGGTGGAGGTAATGTGAGGAACTGACTCTGCTGGGTTTTGAACCCTGGTTTACATGGTGCTAAACCTTTTCCTTACCAGTACACCAGCCTGCCTTTTGCAAATTTACCTGAGATCTTATACCATTGCTTGTAGAGTCAAGGTTATCAGTGACAACTCTCTTCAGCTGTGTCTGGTCAGGTGTCTGGTTCTTGGCCTATAAAAGCCACTTCCTGTCTCTGTACCTTTGCCAGATTATTATGGTTCCTGTACTCTCTAATCAAGCGTGTTCCTGTTTCTCCTTCCTGTTGCTGAATTTGGACTGTTTTGACTTTGCTGCTTCTCCTTCCCACTGACCTCGGCTTGCCTCACTACGATTATCATCTTTCTGTTCCAGTCTCCCATCTCTGCTTAAGACCAGAAGGCCACTCAAGGCTCAGGGGCTCAACCACCTGGGTAACGAGTGGCTACCTCTGGCAGAAAACATTGCTGATCTGGCTACTGGACTCCAAAACTTTGTAACATCAATATCATTACAGTGTGTGACAGAGTAAGAGGTGGGTGATAGGGTGAGAGGGGGTAATGAAGTAAAAGGGGGTTATGGGGTGAGAGGAGGTGACAGGGTGAGAGGTGGGGTGACAGGGTGAGAGGTGGGGTGACAGGGTGGGGGGGTCATAGTGTTAGTGGGGTAAGAGGGGGGTGACAGAGTAAGAGGGCGGTGACACGGTGAGAAGGGGGTGACAGGATGTATAGGGGGTGACAGTGTTAGGAGGGTGAGAGGGGGTAACAGGATGTTTATGGGGGTGACAGGATGTGTAGGGGGTGACAGTGTTAGGGGGGTGACAGTGTTAGGGGTGTGACAGGATGTGAAGGGGTGACAGGATGTGAAGGGGTGACAGTGTTAGGGGGCTGACAGGATGTTAAGGTGGTGACAGTGTTAGGGGGGTGACATAGTGTAAGTTGGGTGACAGGTTAAGGGGGGGGGGGTTGAAATTTACCTTTTTTTTTTTTGTTGCATGATTCCCTGGTGGTCCAATGGGCTCCCAGTGTCCCTGGTGGTCCGGTGGATTTTCCAGTCTGCAGCTCTGCCGGATACACAGCTGCAGACCACATGGGGAATGTCTTGCGATCTTCTTCAGAGCGTTGCCGCGGCGGAGCTGCAGACTGAGGCTGGCTCTCCCAGGGCAGACTGACAGGAGGGGCCTCTGTCATAGTCCGAGAACCCGACATGTCAGTCTGTCTTCAGGCGATTTAGGCTGCGAGGTCCCTGACAGCGCGAGGCCTTAGGCAGCCGCCTAAATCGTCTAATTAGAGAGCCGCCTCTGCTCACTGATCTAATGCTATCTGTACTGCATTTCATCTTGTTTATACAAATCTCTAAAAAAATGCAGCATACTTAAAATGTTAAGTCCCGTAAGTTTTATATTTTGCTTGTCTAATGTGACCATGTTGACATGTTATTATATACTTGTCTATTACTCTTTGCATACCAAAAATAAAGAATATTAAAAAAAATAAAAATAAATGATCTCTTGAATATTGTCCCATAACAGCCCTTAAAATAATTTCCTAACCACATATGTTAAGCTTACATTTTCCAAGTTGATCCCTTTTTAAATATGGGCACTGCGTCTGCTTTTCTACAATCGTCTGGTATGCTCCCAGAAAAAAAAGATTCCTGAAATATTATAGAATATATATATGAAATATTAAAAACAGTATTGTGGATATTATTACACTAAGCTTTCTATGTATTTGTGGGTGAATGCCATCTGGCCCTGGGGCTTTGTTTGCATTAACTTAATTTAATTGCTGTAGCACTTTATCCTGTGATAACCAATTACCTGTTTCCTGAAGGCGTTTGCAACAGGGATTTGAAAATATAAAGCCATAGATTTGTATTTGCTATTAAACTGATCTAATATTCGAAAAAATCTACGAATTTGTGACTTCCTTTAAGAATATGTAATAGAAAAAAAGGGATAGAGTCGCACTTGGACACAATGTTTCAACCCAGGGTGCTACTGAGCATGGGTAAGCAAACCTCAAGGAATATATATGAGTAAGAAAATCTCAAGCACTCGCTGCGATTGCTTCCAGGCAGATTTATTGCAACGTTTCGACCTGTTAAGGTCTTTATCAAACTTGAATATGATGATCAACAGCGTTGAAAGCAACAGAGAGCAATTAAGTAATTGAATACTTTGGTCAAGGATGATTCGATAGAGTGATGAGAGTGGAATCCAGAGTGAAGCAGGTCATGCCGACAGTTATAATCAAGGGAAATTGATCACTCTGAAGTACACAACTCTCTCAAGAATCATGGAGGCAAATGGTA